CCTGAAGCCGTTGTCAATCTCCCCCGCCAGCCCCCACTTGGCCGCCTCGTCCAGGATGGCCCGCTGCACCACCTCACGCAACTCCATCTTGCGGCCACCCACACCGCCCACCACAAAGCACTGCAGCTGCGGCACACGCACCACCTGGCCGCCCACATCGGCCGTCCCGCCCACCACTTCCCTGTTGCTGCTGGCCTGGTACACCGCCGAACGCACCAAGTGCTCCGCTGCCGCACACACCCGCCGGGCCATGTCGGTGTGCCGCACACCGATGGCCTCACTGATGGCCTCCTGGGCGGCATCCATGTCGGAGAGGTATGACGCGATGCGCCAGCCGAAGACGGGGGCCTCCTGCGGGCCGACGGCCAGCCGGGGGGTCAGGAGGGCCGCGAGTGAGCGGTGGGGGGCGAGGGCGCCGTTGACGGCCGACATGACGGCAGGGCCCACCTCGTTGAGCACTGTGGCATACTCGGTGAGCACCAGCTGGCGTCCACGGCGACGGTCCTCTGTGGCTGTGGGGATGAGATTGATGTCGACACCCGCCCGCAGCAGCGAATGGATGGTCAGCTTGTACTTGCCACTCCGGGCGCGATGCCGCCCCTTGTCGGCCTCGGGTGTGTCCGGGTCCTGAAGCTCTTGAGTGCGCCAATCGAGCTCCTCGGCAGCTATGGCGAGGGGCGTCTGAGTGTCCCGTCTGTTGATCTGGTCAGCGGGCAGCTTGCGGCAGAGGTAGTCGGCCACGTAGGGAGAGCCAGACTCTGCTGCGTAGTGCAGTGGCGTCCATCCAATGCCATCGGCTGCCGTCATGTCGGCCCCATTTGCCGTGATGAGGTCGAGGTAGCTGTCGATGAAGGACTGGGGGTAGTGCCCATTTGAGTTGATGGCTGCCTTGTGCACCAGGCTGCAGCCAGACCCTTCTTCGGTGGGGAGGGTGGGGTCGTCTTGGATGAGTCGCTCATACATCGACATGAGCAGCCGCAGATGCTCGGGGGGAGGCGGACGCAGGGGACGGGGCAGCTCCATCACCGCTGCTCCGCGCACGTTGATGCCGTATCGAGCCATCAGCACGTCAAAGGCCGTTCGGTTGCCCAGTGCGATCGCCACCCACAACAAGGGCTTGCTGGCGGCGTTGATGTCGGCGCCTCCGTCGAGCAGTGCGGTCAGCACGGCCGCCTGCAGCTCGTCAGACGACCACTGGGGCAGGGCCACGAAGCGGCAAGCATCGTCTCCTGCTTCGAATTCCGCCGGGACGGTGTAGTCCGATTTGTTGTCGATGGTGATGGCGAGGAGCGGGTAGCCGAACCCACGATGCTTGCTGCCCTTCTTCCTTAGTCGAGGCTTGATATTGGGGTTGGCTCTCTGTTCGATGAGGTCGGTCACGTGCTGTGGGCTGGGGATGGTGCGGCCAATGATGCCCAATGCCAGCGACTTGGTAACGTCGCTGGTGCCGTAAGGGAATCGAGCTTCCAGCTCATCGGCTCCCAAGAAGCCGTCTGGCACGTCGACTGAGGTGATGGGCACCACCGGGTGACCTGGTGGGGGACACACAGCCATCATACGACGCACACAGAGAACGAATGCATGTATGGGCCCGCACCCCCCTCCCTCCCTCTCATGTGCCTGTCCGTCTGGCGTACCATCGTCCTCATAGCCGTCGTCATAATCGTCGCTGTCTGAGTCACTGTCGTCGTCCCCCTCACCGTCATCGATCTCGTCGTCTTGGTCTTGGTCTTCGTCCAGCATCTCTCCGTCGTCACTGTCGTCCTGCATACCACCACCCTGACGCAGCGACACAGAGGCAACGGGAGAACAGCCAGGTGACGAGCGTCACATGGACGGACAGAGAGTCCATGAATTAATGCCTCACCGATTCGCTCCCATCGGCCATCACACCGCCCTCCTCATTGTCCTCATCTGAGCACAATCAACCACAGGCACACACATCGACACAAATCAAGTGCTGCGGCGTTCGGTGCTGACCGTCAGGCTCATCGCCGCTCTGGAGTTGCTGCACGGCGTCGACGTCCATCGGGGGCTCCGCGGCATTCTGCTGCTGCTTGTCGTGCGGCCATGGGTGGGGCTCGGTGTGCACACAGAGAGAGGGCCTTACTGCCGCCTTTTGAAGACCTGACTGTGACACACACACAATGAGAAATGAGGGCCCTTCCTCCACCGACGACGCCCTTGCTCCTTCCCGCATGCCCGCCTACCTTCTCGTGTCCTGTCCTCTTTGGACGGGCCCTCACCTCACGCAGAGTAAAGCAGATCTGCCGCCCTGGACCCACGAGTCACTATGATACGGAAACTGGGGGATGCCCGTGTGTGTTGAGGTCGCCTGATCGCCACTGATGTGCCAAGAGATCACGCGCGCTTCTTGGCTCGCCCCGTAGGGTGTAGGGTTCAAACCCTAGAGACCAGGCGAGGAGGCGCCGCGCACACACCTGCAGGCTGCCAGACTCGACTCAAGGCGTGCCGTAGCAGCCCTCATTCGACAGCCCTCAACCGAGTGTGAGTGCCCTGATACAACCCTGATAAGGCGAGGCCACCCTTCGGTCTTCATCAATAGGGAAGCCTCGACGGAGAAGCCGCACGTAGTAATGTAAGCACACAGATGAAGCACATGGCAGCGTATGTGGAGAGCGATGCATGCATCTCGTCGTGTGCACTTTTGTCTTCAGCCGTGCTTGAGTGGTGCCATGGCAGCAGCTTCGTCGTCATCTTCATCTGCTGCTTCGCCTCCTCAGGCAGAGGTGAGTCAAACCACAGTGGCACGTCAATCAATCAATGCGTCATTCACTCATTCACTCGTTCATTGCTTTGTTTGTTTCGTTAGGCCATGGCATCGTGTTCGTCGGCCGGTCGTCACCGGGAGGGCACTCGTGTGCTGCTGACGTCGGGCACCAGAAGGGATGCCAATGAGAGCTATGTGTGGCTCAAGGCCGACGTCTATCGCATAGAGGAGATCAGCAAAGGGACGCTGCTCTTCATGCGGGAGGTCGGCGGCCGGGAGGAGTTCAAACAGGTGGTGCCGCATCGGACCAGCGCGCCCATGAACACCAACCCACAGCCACCCGTGGTAGGCAAACACACCTCAACAGGAAGCTCCTTAGATGCCCCGCTGAATGTGTGTGTGCCTGTGTGTCTGTGTCGTCTGTGTCGTCTGTGTGGCTGTGTCGTCTGTCTGCAGGTGTGGGATGTTAGCAGGAAGGTACACGTAGCCACGCACTGCACACCCATATTTCCACTCTGCCTTCTCCCTCCTCCTTGGTGGTGTTTCTGCTTCAGGCCCCTGACGGTTTTGGCGACGGCCCTGACGGCTCTCTGGCGACGCTATTCAGCTTCATGACGCCTTGCGAGCTGTCGGCTCTCTTCCCGGACCGCCCCGTCGAACCACTAACAAACCAGCAAGCCGACCCCACCATCCACGATGCAGCCGTCCACCAGCAGACACACATCACCGTGGACTGCAGCACCCGTGCAGAGTGTCACTTCTGGGAGAGCATGACGCCTGAGGCCGCATTCCAGCTGGGCAAGTGTCTCATCAACGTGACGGCACTCACCGTCCTGCAGCCACACGATCGTCCATCGTGGTGTCTGTTCACCATGATAGGCATCGTGGAGGGCCATGCCGCCGGGCGACGGAAGGCGTACGAGGCGAAGGATCGACAGCAGCACATGCCCGAGGGGTCTCTGGAGAGCATCCAATTTGTGGCCAGCCCCATCAGCCACGCCGACCGACTAGGGCGGCAGCATTGCCCCACCAGAAAGAATCGCAACAGCAGCAACAATCGCGGCATCTACATTAAGGCCAGGAGGGGCGGCGAAAGGACAAAGAGGAAGCGCCCCCCCATCCCCCCTCCCATCAGAGCGCCCCCAACCCTCCCTGCCCTCAGGACTGTCACAGGAGCCGTCCCGGAGCACGCTGTGGTGTCCAGCAGCCGGTGGGTGATGCCCGCACTCGAGCACATAGACCAGCAGGGCTGGACGGCGGACCAGCTGGGCCTGTTCATCAGCACTTCGCTGTCGCTGCAGCACGTGGGTGGGAGGGTGCGGGGCGCGGAGTGGGCGGCTGTGTTTAGGTATGTCCTCGTGGCACGTGATGGCCAGCCAGGGCGGCTCAGACGGCTGCGGAGCATTGGATTGATCCATTACTGGACGCCGGAAGAAGTGGACGAGCTGCAGGTATGGACCATTACATCGAAAAGGAATCACATGTAATTATGTCATTGTCTTCACTTCTAGGAGGTATTGACGTCGCGTGGCTGCCGCAAGTCGCTCAAGAGCGTCAGCGTGCGGATCCTACCAATTGTCGACCACCACACCCTCCCCGCCCTCGTCGCTGTCGACAGCCTCATCGACAAGTGCTGCGTGCCGCATGACGTCGACATCACCGTGCTGCCGGAAACTAACAGGACGACCCGCTATTTCCAGCTGTCCGTCCTCTATGCCGACGACCTGCCCCGTTCCCTCTCGCCCTTCGTCAGGAAGGCCTTGCAGGAGGCGGCACGGGTGGCATACGAGCTGCGATACACCATCAGTCAGCACGATATCACTCACTCCGTCGACGACCCGAGCCAGACGGCCATCGAGATCGCAGAGAGCCTCTCATTCGACAACGTGAGGCTCGTGAACGCCATGAGTGCCTATGGCTTCGCCCCTCCGCCCGGGACCCCCTCACCCGCCCCCGCCATCATCGACCACCTGCAGCCCTTCCCAGCGGCCAAGGAGCTGCAGATCTGCAGCGGTCTGGGCGGGCCTGTGGGCAGCTTGCTGGCACAGAAGATGCCCATGGAGGTGGAAACGGTGATCATGCCCTCGGCTGTGAGGTCAGAGGACAAGACCAGGGTGCTGGAGGCGTTGGGGGAGGAGAGGGAGGTGGACACTATCTACGTCGGTGCAGCTGGGAATGCACTGAGTGCATTGGATGGATGGAGGGCGGAGAGCTTCCCAGTGACGCACCAGATGAGTGTCCAATTTGGAGGTATGCAGAATACTAGGTGGTGTCCCGTTGACGTGTGCATTGCTGCATTGTGTGTGTGTGCCTTCGCTCACTGCCAGACGACCGATATCGTTGCATCCACTTTCGAGTTGCACTGACATCGCCTGGCGTCCGCAGCTCGCTCAAGAGCCTCAGCGTGCGGGTCCCGGCATCTATCGACCATAACACCTTTCCCGCCCTCCTGGCTGCCGACAGCCTGATCAACAAATGCCGCGTGTCGGATGACGGCGACATCACCGTGCTGCGACAGAGCGAGACCACCAGACGTTCGGACAGGCCTCCTAGCTATTTCCAGCTGTCCGTCCTCTATGCCGACGACCTGCCCCGTTCCCTCTCGCCCTTCGTCAGGAAGGCCTTGCAGGAGGCGGCACGGGTGGCATACGAGCTGCGATACACCATCAGTCAGCACGATATCACTCACTCCGTCGACGACCCGAGCCAGACGGCCATCGAGATCGCAGAGAGCCTCTCATTCGACAACGTGAGGTACGTAACGGTCTCGAACGCCGACGGCTTCGTCCCCCCTCCCGGCGCCCCCGCCCCCACACCCACCATCATCAACCACCTGCAGCCGTTCCCAGGGGCCGACAAGCTGCGTGTCTTCAGCGGTCTGGGCGGGCCTGTGGGCAGCTTGCTGGCACAGAAGATGCCCATGGAGGTGGAAAGGGTGATCATGCCCTCGGCTGTGAGTGCAGCAGACCAGAGCGGCGTGATGGAGGCGCTGGGAGAGGGGCGGAAGGTGGACACTGTGTGGGTCGGTGTAGCAGTGGGGGGTGCACTCAGTCCTTTGAATGGCTGGAAGCCGGAGAGCTTCCCAGCGATCAACAAGATGTTCATCGACTCAGCAGGTGCGCATGCGCTTTGGCGTGAGTGGTGCGCCGCCTCATCTCATTCGCGCAGTGCTGCATTGTGTGTCTTGTTGTCGTTCAGTTCCTGGGCATGTGCGGGCTGTTGTGGCTGCCAGGCGGATCTCCGACGGCCTCTCGTCCGTTGTGCGCAGCATGCGGGGCCTCGAGCGTGTGATAGTGTCGGTGAATCGGAGGTCGGTCCGCAGCGCTATTCGGCGTCTGCTCCCCGACAGCGCGAGCAGCACCTTCACCATCTACTTGTTCGTCGACACCTAAACCGTGAGAAGGACATGCGGGGACACGCGAGTGCTTTGCATGGCGCATTGGGTGTCCGTGTGTGTGTGTGTGTGTGTGCCGTCAGTTCTCCTGAGCCGCACAAGACGACAGGGCAGCACCATGCCGTAGCTGCGGATGGACCGAGGCATTCCCTACGTATGTCGCTACTCAGTACCTTTGTGGATGAATGTGTATAGGGCTGGGTGTGTGGACACCGCCAGCCAGCCAGCCAGCCAGCCAGCCAGACAGGTGGAGGGACTTAGTGATGGGCTAGTGGTGGTCGGGCTGTGTTTCTGAGCTGAGTTCATGCGTGCTGACGTACGCGTGTTGGTGAGTGTTGCTGACTGAGCGGCATACATTCGATTCAGCACATGGAGAGTTTGCGCATCACGAGCGAGCCCCACAGTGTCGAGTGACGAATTGATTCACACTCGCACACAAAACCATTCATGCATCATCGCCGCACTTGCGGACAACAAAAGTGGCACTCCACATCTCTATCACCACCACCGCTTGCTACGGCACCAACAACAAACACACCGCGCACACCAACAAAACACGACTCACTCAACTCATTCACCAGCCTAGATAAATGCTTGACGTCACTCGACCACCTCCCATTTGATCTCTCCCCCGCCCCCATCACACTCATCGATGATGCGGTATTCCCTCTCCTTGTACCGATCAGGCATGCTGGCTATCGCTGCTATCGTGTCCCTAAACACTTGCATGCGCAAGTCGATGTCCCTCGGCAGCTTCACCGTGACTTGCTGGTAGTCGTGGGGAAATGCGTCGTGTGTGCCGGCTGCCAGGGCGTCCAGCAGCACACAGTATGGAAAGGCGGCCTCAAGCATCACCCAAGGAAATGACGGCAAGGAGGCCAAGCCCTGCAGCAAGGGGAGGGAAGGAGAGGAACGAAACATCCGCCGGCACCTGCCTGCGTACCTCGGTGCTGACGGTTCCCTTCAACACGGCAATGATCGCCTTCGTCTGGTGTTCCATCACTTTGAAGATGCCGGGCGCAAGCGCCGGCAGCCCCAGGAAGAAGAGAGTGGAAGGATGCTTCCTGTGGAAGAGGTGCACGTAGAGGGCATCACGGACGCTCTCGGGGCGGTTCATCGTGCGCGAGGGGAAGAGACCGCTCGACTCCGAAAAGAAGGGAAAATCTGGACGTATGATGTCACAGCCAACCAGAATCGACAATGCACACGACACGCACAAACGCCCTTCGTTGGCTCCTGCTAACCGTATTTGTATCCCGTCGCGTAGATGACGGCATCAATCGTGCCGTCGCTTGTCACGAGCTCGTTGGCAGCCCCCTTCACCAGGTACCGCCCGTCGCTCTCCAGCCCTTCCAGGCGGCCGACAGGCTTCACGTTGGGGGGCAGCTTGCTCCTCACTGTCGCGGCCGTGTCAGGGTCGCTGAAGGAGGTACCCGACCAGACCACCATCTTGGCGACGCTTGCAATCTCCGAAACCAAATCTGAATGCATGCACACACTGCTTCGGTGTCAGACAGCGCCTCTCCCTCTGTTGACTGACCTAGGCCACTTGGTCCCCCGCCGACGATCAACACGCGCTGATTGGCGAAGGGTGACGGCGAACGGTACTCCTTCGAGTGGATGGCAAAACCACTAAAGTCGTTCTTGATCAGCTGGGGATAGTTTGGGACATTATAGTGCCCATTGGCCACCACCAGTGCTTCGAAGAGCTCCTCCCCGTTGATGAGCCAGCCCCCCCTTGCACCATCGCCATGCGCCGACACGTATTCTGCCGACCGCACGGGTGTGGAGAGGGCGATCACCTCATGGAGGTTGAAGCGCTCGGCGTATGAGTGAAGGTATCTGAGGACGTCCTGGTGATTCATGAAGGAAGGCAGGGACGGAGAGAATGGGAAATCGCTATAGGCCATGATTTGCTTGGGCAGATTGGTGCGCAGACTCTTGTACAGAGCGCCGCGCGTGTCGCTGTAGACCCACAGGCCCCCGATCTTGTCCGTCGCTTCGAACACCTTGACGCGGAAGCCCTCATCACGCAGCAGCTTGGCGGCAACCAGACCACCTGATGACACGTCGCATGAATCATAGACAGATGAAGGTGCGTGTGCCATCCTTCTCCCTCCCGCCCATCTTAACCTGCCCCTGCTCCGATGACCGCCACCCTCTTGCTGTCGCCTTGGCACATGGATGACGCTCACAGCTCTTCGACGGGCAGCGGCTAGGTGCGTCTTCTGCTTCAGATTGAACACATCGCGTGGATCCAAAAGGCCAGACCAAAACTGGTTGGACAGAGAGCAGCTGATGGAGGCCTGCTGCACCACTCGTACGCTGTTTCACGAGGCTCCACACGTTGAGATTGAAAGGATCAGCCCAGCTCTTCTTGGCTCAGCACCCGGCTCCTGGGGATGACCCCAGCGTCACGCGGACAACTAAAAGGCAGGAAAAGAGAAAGCGGCAAAAAGGCAGGAAAAGCAGATCCGCACAGAGAGATAGTCTTACTACCTCTTAACGACCTGACAGTGACAGACACAAATGGAAATGAGGGCCCTTCCTCCACCGACGACGCCCTTGCTCCTTCCCGCCTGCCAACGTACCCTCTCGTGTCCTGTCTGCAGCAGGAGGGCCCTCACCTCACACAGATCAAGGCAGATCTGCCGCCCTGGACCCACAAATCACTATGAGACGGAAAATGGGGGATGCGCGTGAAGTCTTGAGGTCGCCTGGTCGCTCCACTGTCAATGATCTGCCAAAAGAATCGCGGGCATTACTTGGCTTAGCTCGCCCAGGGTGTAGGGTTTCCAAACCCTACTCTCAGGCACTATCCCCCGCTCGTGAGTCACATTCTCTCCGTGCCGCCGCAGAACCAGCAGCAGAGAACTGCTGCTCGACTCGGATCACCGTGCCCCTACCGGCGGAAGTCATCCGACGGTGAGTGGGGATGCAATTGGCTCATCACGAGTCAGCCATGTGATTCGCTGCTGCCTCTGTGTGTCGGTATACTTGTGTTGTGCAGGTCTACTTGTCGGCGGGACCATTGGCAATTTGCTCGCTTGTTTGCTCGTCTGGGTCCATAATTCGACACACGATAGGTGGGCAAGCACAGACACAAAGCTTCCACAAGTGCATGTGCCCGTCTCTCTCCATGACTTTTCTCTGTGTGGTGGATGCAGCTGTTAATTGGTGTGTGTTTGAGTGATGTCTGAATCTTACGGCATCGGCATGGCCTCCGCTGCCATGGCTGACGGTGACGGTGACGATGCAGGTACACCGCAACCGAATGCACGACACATCACACACACGGCACCCAACCACATTGTTTCATGTCGTTGTCCGTTTCATTGTGTTTGCAGACGATGTAGGCGAGGAGGGGCATAGCGGCGGCGGACCAACAGAGGACGACAATCGCAATGGCATTGACAGCGGTGAGTGACCAACCAATCATCTCACATAGACCAGTCAACACACCAGCAGCACGGCATACTGATGTGTTCTCTGTCGGTGCGTCGCCTGTGTCTGTGGTCAGACGAGCAGCAGCAGCAGCAGGGCGGGATGGCCGACGAGATGGCCGATGAGGAGGGAAGTGATAGCGAATCGGTAAGGCACTCATTTAGTCATTCACGAACACAACACGAGTCAATGCGATATGATGTCCGTCACGTTCTTCCTTGCCCCTTTGTGGTCTCGGGATCCCATGCAGGAGGATGGCGATAGCGATGGTGCTGGCGACGACATGAACGAAGACGACAATGAGGAGCCAGACGAGTACAGTGACATGTTCAGTGACTCGTCCGACGCCGGCTATGAGGAGGCGGGTACGCCGGACGGACAGATGTAACAATGCTATACACACACTCACTGTGTGTCTCCCTCGTGTGGCGGCTCCCGCATTGTGCTGCAGGCCATCCTGTGGTGGCGGCCACTAGCGTGACTGTCCCAGACGGTTGTGTGGGCGTCAATGACATCGAGGCTCGCTTCCCCATCGGCACCAATGAGGCCACCAAGCAGCTGGGGCTGGGCGTCATCGGCCGCACCATCACCGACCCACGCCAAGTGACCGACCTCATCCAGCAGGAAGCAGCCGACCCCAACGTCATCCCTCGGCTGCGGAAGAAGGCCAGCATGCTTCCTGGCCGCGCCCACTCCCTGCTTTGTCTTGCCATTGACAACCTGTCAGACAATGCGATACCGACCATCCGTGCAGAAATCGATGAGGGTGCTGACCGCGTCGTCACCATGCCGCAGTGGTCGTCAGATGGGCTGCAGGGGGGCGTCACGACGGCACTCATCGAAAGGGGCGCTGACATCAATGTGGGACGCACTGATCACGACGAAGACCCCAGGCCCATCTGTTTGGCCATCGCATCCGGCAACGAGACGACATTCAGCATCCTGGTGGAGCGGGACGACATCGACCTGCGCGGAGCAACGGTGATGAAGCTGCCGTGTCCGCTGCGTGACCCTCCCTCCGACTACCTGCAGCTGCTGTGGTCGATGTTCCAGCGCCTTATCGACCGCGACCCCACCCTCGCCGCCGAACAACGCTTCAACCACAACCTGGTGCATTTGGCAGCCACTCGGGCGGGGAGTCACTACCCCAAGTCGTTCATCTACGCCTACCTGGACCTCATCACACAGCACGGGGCCGACATGACGGCAGTCGATGGCATTGGATGGACGCCACTGCACTACGCGGCAGAGTCTGGCTCCCCCTACGTGGCCGACTACCTCTGCCGTAAGCTGCCCGCTGACCAGATCGACAGACATGTCCTTATCAGCAACCACACGCCCCTCGCCATGGCTGCCAAACAGCTCGATCTGCTCCTGCAGGTCCAGGAGGCAGAGAACTACGAGGGGGCCGAGATCACTGAAGAGGAATGTCGTGCCGAGAGTGACAAGGTCAAGGCGATCATCCATTCGCTACTGCGAATAGGCGCCGACATCAACAGCCTCCCCACGGCCAGAGAGGAGCGCCGCCGTCGCCGCCAGCTGGTGCTGACTGAGTACACCACGGTGTTTAAGGAGGTGGGCCCTGCCTTCATGTCGGCCGTCAACGCCGCCCTCGCCCCCCACCGCGGCCTCGCTGCCCTCCTGACCCCCCGGCTGGCCGTCGGCCCGCAGGAAGCCCCCATCTTTGGCTGGCGCATCGCGTCATACCTCTTCGACATGGATGCCGCCCAGGAGGCCATCGGTGAGGCCATCGGTGTGCGGCACACCGACATGGCCCGGCGTTTGTGTGCGGCAGCGGAGCACTTGGTGCGTTCGGCGGTGTACAGGGCCAGCAGCAACAGGGAGGTGGTGGGCGGGACGGCCGATGTGGGCGGCCAGGTGGTGCGTGTGCCGCAGCTGCAGTGCTTTGTGGTGGGCGGTGTGGGTGGCCGCGAGATGGAGTTGCGTGAGGTGGTGCAGCGGGCCATCCTGGACGAGGCGGTCAAGTGGGGGCTGGCGGGGGAGATCGACAACGGCTTCAACAAGGATGTGGCTGCGGTGGTGTGGGGGGCACTGGGGTGTCTGGAGAAGGGGCGGGATGGCAGGGTGAGCTTCAGGTCGCTGCAGCTCACGTGAGAGAGGCACACAGATAGGTGACTGAGGGAAGGAGGCAGTGAGGGGGGTTTTAATGTGTAGACGGATGGTTGGTGGGGCGTGTTTTATCTATTCACTCGCGGCTCGACAGATAGACAAGATGGTGGGATGGAAGGCAGGCACATGCAGAGACGTCACTCGGATGTGATGTGTTCACCCATCTATGGCGATATCACGTGAATGCAGTGGGTGATGAATGACTCACCTCCTGGCCGCCTTTTTGCATGTGAAGAGAAACGGTTGCTGGGTGGAGTGCCTGGCTGGCGGACAGTCTTTTACCGGTGCTTTGTGGTGACTGCCATGACATTTTGTGGTCAATGCGCAGCAGCGTATGGCCAGTGGATCAGCGTATCTCAAAACAACAGAATCTCGAAACATCCGCGTGCACATGCATATTGTCCCTGTACACATCTAGCTATGATCCCTGACGTGTCCATCGATCTACCCCCTGCCGTGCCACTCCCACCTGTACAGCTGCTATCTATCCGCCACTCGTTCGTTTGTTCGCTAGTTTGCTGGTTCGTTCGTCAGTCCTTTTTCCTGTCCCTTTCCTCGCTGGTCGCCGCGGCCATCTCCTGCACTCGCAACTGAAGCTCCTTCCGCTTGCTCGACACCTGCATGTGCGCACACACAGACAGATGTCGATATCGGCCTCTGTCTGCCTAGTTTGAAGGGGCTGTGTTTGCTACATGTTTGGGTGTGATGTCTGCCGGCTGTGTGGCCTGCTGTCCCAGGTGCTTGCGCGCAATGTGCTCGGCAAAGAGCAGAACGTACACACCGCAGTCCGTCGCGTTGGTTTGCTGCGCCGCCTTCTGCACCGTCACCGTCGCCTTGGCGCTGTTCGGGTCGTCCTGGGGTCTGAGCAGCGATGAGAGCTTGCGTGCGATTTTGGTGGCGACGGGGAGAATGCCGCTGCCCATGCTGTCATAGTAATCGAAAGACATGGGGCCGTCAGATGGATTGTGGATCACCTAGTAAAACAAGCAACGAGGGACGATACAATGTATCCACCCTCCGTGTGTGGGTGAGGCTTGCTTACCAGGAGGCTCCAGTGGCTGCCTGCGTTGGCCACCTGGCGGTCTTCGTTGTCGTTGAGCGGAACAAGCAGTAGACGACGGCTCGACAATGACAACGCTGACCAAACAGCAACCAATATGCCTCTGGTGAGAGTGCATGTCCCGTTTCTGCCCATGCTTGCCTTCTAGTCCCTCCTTGAGGTCATCGAGGTCGTCCTCTATGTTCACCCAGAAGGAAGTGGCGGGGTCCATGAACAGCACATCGGACTGATCCCTGAAGGAAGATAAGACGCATATGGGGCAGCAGCCATGAGTGGTTCTTGCGCTCACTTGAAGTCGCCGATGGTTGAAAGGTACTCCAACGCGAACCCAATGCAGCTGCACGACACAGCACATCTGCTGTGCAGAGATCTGATGCCTTTCGTCTGCATGGCGCATCTACCTGTCATTGAGCAAGTTGCCTTCCTGCAGAAGGCGGATGTCCTGGTCGTATAATCTTGCGTTGTGGAGCGTCACGCGGGGCAGCACTGGATCACCACTAATGTCCATGGCGGACCTTGAATGTTTCTTCAGGTCGATCGCGAGCTTAGAAATGACGAGCTCGCGTCGTCCACGGACTGAGAATGGCATCCCCACGCTTTCGAAGGCGATGGGCCTGTGAAGAATGACATGAGGGACTGAGAGTCGTTGTCGCCGCTTCATTTGGTCGGCAGATGTCGAAGCTCGAGGATTTCAAAGAGATAGCCCTCGTGGGGGAAGGCGCATACAGCAGGTGCGACACGGAGGGCCGGTGGGGCTTGTCGTCCATGACAGTGGCTGCCGTTGTGTGCGTGTTTGTTTGTGGTTGCAGTGTGTACAAGGTGTTGCGGCTGTCGGACGGGCAGGAGTACGCCTTGAAGAAGGTCACTCTGCCCAAGCTGTCGGAGAAAGAGAAGCAAAACGCCCTCAATGAAGTGCGCTTGCTTGCATCCATAAGGTGACTGACTGACTGTACATTTTCATCAAGGACACGAAGGGATTCTTGTGTGGATCGGAGGCCGTTTGTTTGTTTGTTGGTTGTGTTTGCTCTCGCTCATGCAGGCATCCCAATGTGATCGCTTACAAAGAAGCATTTCTGGACGAGAGGAGCCACACACTCTGGAAAGACACCCACATGGCTGCGGGTCAGCATCCCGCATTAGCGCGTCATGGGTTCCTTACTTTGCAGCATTGTGACGGAGTTTGCCGATGGCGGAGACCTCTTTCAGAAGATTGTTCAGCACCAGAAGGCCAAGCAATACTTCAGGGAGGCGGACATCTGGAAGATATTCATTGGGGTAGGCTGCCGTCACGTCAATGCATACGCGCCTCATCCGTACCTGCTGGCTGGCATCGGTTGCAGATGTGTCAGGGTCTGAAGGCCCTCCACGACCTCAACATTCTCCATAGAGACTTGAAGGTCAGCCACCGGCATTCACAAAACGGCACAGGCTGAACCAGGGTGCTGCTTGTGTGTTACGTGCAGAGTGCCAATGTCTTCCTCACGAAAGCACGCGCCGTCAAAATTGGGTAAAAACCTTTGCTTGAAGCCGACAGAGCAGCGCGTTTCGCATCAACCGATTTGCTTGTGTCTGTGTGCAGTGACTTCAACGTGTCCAAAGTGGCGAAGCGTGGCCTTCTGTACACTCAGACGGGGACGCCATACTACGCCAGGCAAGCCAAGCCATGCACGCATCGACTCATGCACGCTAAGGATGGCCCCTGTATTGAGTGTGTCAATTGCATTTTCAGCCCTGAGGTGTGGCGCGACCAGCCATACGATGCAAAAAGTGACGTCTGGTCGCTCGGTAAGCTAAGAAACGACAGCAATTGTGACCATGAATATCATGACAAGCTGTCATGTTCGCTTTTGTATCCAGGCTGCGTTTTGTATGAGATGTGTGCACTGAAGCCACCATTCAGAGCTGACGACATGGAGGCCCTGTACAGAAAGGTAAATGGCAGACGAGACATACCACGGAGGACGCACGCAAGCGTTCTTGCTGTCTTAGGTGCTGAAAGGCCAATACAGCAAGCTGCCCCACATCTTCAGCAGCGACATCCCCACATTGCTGGACCTCTGCCTCCAGACCAACGCCATCCACAGGCCGTCGGTCACACAGATACTCACGCACCCCACCATAATCAGGCAGAAGGAGAGGCTGGCGGCATCCACTGAGACATCACCAACCCCCCCAGAGACATCTGACGGGCTCCTCAACACCATCAAGCTGCCCAAGGATGTCGCGGTCAGTGAGAAAGAGCATGCGAGGATTGTTCATTGTGATATGGATTCGATTCTCACGATTTTGCAGGCGCTGACGGCTCACCTGCCAAAACCCAATTACGGCAGCCCCACGAAGAAAGGAGAAGGCAGCCGGTTGAGGCAAGCAAGAACGACCGATCAGCAAGGAGGAGAAAGATCGGTTCTGAAGGCCAAGAGAGAAGGCGGCGCTCTTGTCGAGTACCATGACAAGAGGAATCCCGGCAGCGCGCACGGGCCGCTGCTGGAAGGTCACTCGCAGCTGGTGGACATCCACGGCGAGCCTTCCCAACTGTCCCCCGCTCCACCGAGACGGCCAGTCGCCTATCACAGGAGAGCACCGAAGTAAGAGAAACGCTCGTGTGTCTCTGCCCTTTTATCGTTCGTCGACCACTCACCTCTGTTTTGGTTTGCAGAGACATGCCTTCTCGCCCCCTTGTCAACGACTCAGCGGAGGATCAGATATACCCGGATGACTTCGAGCGAGAAAACCTGCCATCGAGACCACAGGCGCGCGCAGGGCAGAGGAGAAAGCTCTCTTCACTTGCGCGAGAGCAGCGGCCTGACGGCCTTCCAGTGGACGAGCCGACAAGCGCACCGCGAAGAAAGGATGACCAGAGGAGAAAGAAGAACCGGCAAGAGGCCGAGCACATGAGGAACGGCTACCCCCCTCCTGTCAGCAACAACCCCAACAACCCCACGCCCCCGGCCCTCCCCCCTTCCCTTCCCCCCGTCAATCGGCCACAAGCTGCTGGCATGCCGGCAGGGCCCTACCCCCCCCACGCACATGCACAACTCGCATACCAGCAGTACAAGAACTACGTCTATCACTCGCGGAGGAATCCCTACGGCTATGTCATTCCCCGCCTGCCGCCGGTCAACAACATGCAGAGGTACCACCTGGGAGGCATGCAGCCACCAGGGCGGTCTGAGTCACCGTACGACCGTTCTGAGTCGCCTCATGGCCATGCGATGCCGCTGCTGCCACCCCTTCGGGAGCATCATATGAAGGAGGCGCTCGTGTATGCGTACAGGCCGCAGGGCAGAGACGCGTATCTGGCGTATCACGACCGGGGCAGGGCCGATAGGCAGGGCGGCGGGGAGCCGAAGGGCGCGGCCAAACACGTGCAGAGACTGAGAAGAGGAAGGTATGTATGCCGGGACGGAGAAGGGAAGATAACAGGGGGATCATGTCTCTGTTTGCCTGTGTTGTCTGTGCATGCAGCAAGGACCGCTCGGTTGTGGCCCCCAATCCATACGCGAGCCCGCTGCCCTACCTGCCCCCGCCCGCCGCACCTGTGCGGGACGCCATCATCGACAGGAGGAAAAAGGAAAAGGAGAGAGAGAGAGAACGGGAGAGACTATTCGATGGGCGAGAGTACGGCTATCATCATCATCACCACCACCACCACCACCAGCACCACCCACATTACCCCCCCGCCCAGTACTACCACCATCTGTGACGGTCTTTGTTGCTGTCTTGGTCTCTCTCTCTCTTGCTCATGTCTCTTGCCGACTCACTTGCCGTCGACTTGCTGATAGTGGAACGGAACATTGCTGGGGCCTTTGCGTGTGATGGGATGATGGACCTTTATCGTTTCACTTTTTTGTGTGATGCATGTGGGCATGTATATGTGTGCGTGTGTAAACGACTTACTCATTCACGAAGACATGTAGTCAACCAGGGAAGCAGTAGTAGTGTCAGCAAGAGTTTGTGCGTGTGTCTGCCAGGGGGAGGCACTGTTAGCATCGGCTCTATTCGAGCGCACGAACAGCTAACCTGCCTAAACGTCCCAGGCTACCCACACACACCACATACCACACCTACTCGGCCACTCGCCCACGCGACAGACATCAAAAAGACATCATTGTCATCCGATCCATCTATCCATCCACCCATGGTACGAACGTGTATAGGTCAGTCGAACGAGGGACAGATGGCAGCGCTATCTCATCGACGTCGATGTGACGAAGAGGTCATTCCTTGTCCTCCTTCTTGTCCTTTTCCTTTTCCTCTCCGCTCTCCTTTTCTTTGCCCGCCTCTTCGGCGCAAGTGCAGTGGCGGCCCTTCTTCTCCAGGAACTCCCCCTCAGACTCCACATCTAAGATGTCTCCGATTGGGATTTTTCCGAACAAATTGAGGTCACCCACCTTGGCTGCGCACACACACACACACGCGCACGCACACAGTCACGTGTTGTATCTGCTTGTCTGTGTGTCTGTCTGTCTGTCTGTCTGTGCCTGTGTGCCCGCGGGATGGCGCGTACCATCCACGAAGAATGAGATCGCTGGCACGGCGATGATTGCTGGTCCCTCTTCCTCGCCCTCATCAAGAGTGATTTCGACGTCCTCACCAAAAACGATTTCGACGTCCTCGAATGTCACATCGTACTGGATGAACTTGAAGGTCAGCGAGGGCTGAATCAACACAACGCAAACCACGTACACACACCTTCAAGTGTGCTGCGCAGGATGTAGCTCGTTCGCCGCCCACCAGTCCGTCTTTGGGCAGTGGGCATCGGAGGGTGACCTCCTCGACAATTTCACACGCTGTAATCGGCACCTTTATGGGGCCCACAAAGTAGGGAAACTGAATACACACACACACGCACGCACGAGATCAACAATGTATCGCCATCTGTCAATTACTGATACGGATCACTGACGGTGATTCTGAGGGGTCCGGCAGTCTCGAGGCTGATGTCCTGGACCTCCGCCGCGCCGATCAGCTCCATGAAACCGTCGGTGTTGTTCAGCTGGACAGGCCTATCGAAGGTGACATCGATAAACTTGGTGAGACCGGCCTTCACCAGTTCGTTGTCAGCCGGTGAGGACGAAACCTTCTGGGGACGAACAAACGGGTCCACAGCAGCCGCTGGGTCAACTGGCGGCTCAGGCTCCTTTGGCTGAGCTGGCGGCTCAGGCTCCTTTGGCTGAGCTGGTGGCTCAGGACCCTTTGGCTGAGCTGGTGGCTCAGGACCCTGAGATGGTGGCTCAGGACCCTTTGGCTGAGATGGTGGCTCAGGACCCTTTGGCTGAGCTGGTGGCTCAGGACCCTTTGGCTGAGCTGGTGGCTCAGGACCCTGAGATGGTGGCTCAGGACCCTTTGGCTGAGATGGTGGCTCAGGACCCTTTGGCTGAGATGGTGGCTCAGGACCGTCCTGGCAGCGGACTGTGCCGAGCAGGAGCAGCAGGAGAGCCGCAAAGAAGCCGAGCCGTCTCAGCATCATGGGCGGTGATCTGAGGGGTCTGTGACTGCTTTGGTCACAGATGCGGGGTGGGCATGCTCAAGTCCTCAACAGCAAATCGCGTACGCACGTAAATTGGCAAGATGTAAACTTCGGCACGTCGACACTGCCCGCTTTGTCCATCGACGCACCAACTTGTGAAGGATAGACACGTGCACGCACTTTCATACCGGCTGGCCTGGCAGCCCCGATACATTGTGACCAGAAGGGACAGCCAGGCATTGTCCCCCAAACCCTGATTTGCCAGACAGCCCGCCCTGGTCCCTGCCTCGTTTTGCAGGACTGCTTATCGTTTCCATCATAGACACACTCGTTTTTGTGTTCAGTGGAGACGCAATGATTGAATGAACTTTCAGAATGAATCTGTCTGTCTGTCATGTCAGTCGAGGATGGCCTGGTGTGAGAGTGAGCGTGGGTGCATCTGTGTCCTCATCTTCTGGACAGGGGTTGGCCTCCAGCCACTCATCTAGAGACTCCCGAGAGATTACCAAGCCTGAGAGACCAAGAATAGGTCATGTATTCAACACGCGTCTGATGCCCTTGTCACTGTGCCATGTCAACCTACCTGTGTCGTCTGTGCGGGTGAAGGCAAGGCCTGGAGTGAAATCGTGTGTTAGGATCCTCCGGGCAGCATGGCTCGGGATGTTCACCTCGCGCACACGCCAGCCAGCGCTTGCACCACGCACCGGTTTCATCCTGATTATCAGCTCAGACGGTTCCAGATGGCCACGCTGTAGCCTGTCAAGATGGTAACGCACTGCAAAGCACATATGCAACCCTACAGACACACACGTGCTCGTGACGAAGCCTACGTGCGAGTCTGAAGACGGCGAGCGTCATGTCTTGTGCGCGCAGCGCCCTCAGTGGCTGCTCCACCTGCTTGTAAAACCACTCGGACGTCGCGTCGCCACGCTGACTGCACCGAAGAAAGAAAACACAGCGCCACAGTGGCTTCATATACCGCGCAGTTGAGCACACCAGCGTGCCTTCCTCCTCACCGTGGCTGCAATGGCTCTTCTCCCTCTTTCTCGCCTTCTTGCTGCTCCCACTGCAGCCGTGCGAGGTCCAAATCTAGCATCGTACCTGCACGGACACACACACAGGCTTATGGATGCACCCACACATACTGTGTACGGGAGTCATCGCACCGGCGACATAGGTGGCTAGCTGGCCAAGGTCCAGCACACGGGACGAAGAGGTTTGAGCTGCCTTCCCACACAGGCACCACAGAAGCAGAGAGCATCACGGAATCTTCATGCAACGGTCCCTTCTCTGCAATTGCTTCTCTGCCTGCTCGTACATGAGAATCAGCGGGCATGGCATTGAATCTCGCTGGTGGGATGCCCACATAGGCAATGGCGGCCAGCGCAACGCGCCGGGCACGACCTGCATACAGAAAAGAGAGCAGTGCGCTACACTGCTGTTGCTCGCATGATGGACGCCTCTGTGTCCGGATGCTGACCCCTGATGCACGCCGATATGAAGTCGGTGTAGATGTGGGCGGACCGGGATGGGTCGAGCACCCTGTTGGTTCGCAGGGCAATGTTCTTGCGGAAGACGTGAAGCTGCCGCTGCCAGTCGCCGGCCGACGGCCTAGAAGCGTCCTCACACGACCTGCACATACATAAACTCACTCGAGAAATGATTTGTACAACGAGTTGGTTCGGTGCTCGTGCGCTGCTTGCTGACTTGTACGTGTAGCAGTCGGTGCAGACGCCCATTGCAGCCACATCACGCAACAAAGAACCATCTACAGACATACACCCATCAGCCAACATCACTTTGCCCTCACATGTATCCCTTTGCGGCACTCATTCACCTTCAAGAGCGTCAGCAACAGACGACGACCCTCGCCGCAGCATCTCCCTGACGACAGACAGCAGCACGCAACCAGACCACGCCGTCATCAATATGCGCTGACCACCCTTCCTCCCTCCCTGGCCCCTCTTAGTAGCTAGTACCAATCAGACAGCATGACAGGTTCTTGCAGTGTCACCAAGGATCCAAGATCTAACCTCATCAGCCGCTCAAACAACGTGTCGGTGCCCACTGCCGTGCTCATAGTGGTGCAGCGATGCCTTCTGTGCAGCTTTTGGCCTTTGACCCGCAGTGGCCAGGCGGCCGGGCGGATGAATGCAGACTTGCAAGGGGCGAGGGGATGACTCGTTGCTGTGATCAGCGACCTTCTGCAGAGCGCTGCTGCTGCTGATCCATAGCAGCTGCAGGCGGCCAGCAGCACCAGACATCGCTGCGGTATGCCAGTGGCTGCTGCCTTCTGCGGAGATGGAACGCCGCCGTTTCTTTCCTGCAGAGCATCCATTACACCAAGAGCTGTCCACTCGCGTGCTGCCCAAGATCTGCGAGCTCGCAGTTGCAGATCTCTTTCGTTCTTTTCTTCATCGTTAACGGACACCGAAGTCTTTCAAAGGTGCCTGAACATTCCCCGTGTCATCTCTCGTCGCGTGCATCATGTCGAAGCCGAAGCTGCTGTATTTCGACATCAAGGCCCGCGGGGAGCCCATTCGGCTGTGCTTCGCCATCGCCGGCATCGACTTCGATGACGTCCGCATCGGCCGCGATGAGCTGTCAGCCCTGAAGGAGGAGCCGGGCAAGCTGCCTTTCGGCCAGCTGCCCGTGGTGGAGATTGACGGCAAGCGGCTGGCACAGACGCTCGCGTGCTGCATGTACGTGGGCAAGAAGGCCGGTGAGTGAGTGAGGCAGTCAGTGCCCTCCATGACATGCGGGTCGATGCCTGCATGTCTCATGTGTGTGATCCCAACGCATGGCGTACCTCCCTGTGTGTGCGTCAGGTTTGGTGCCGACTGATGACTGGGAGCTGGCCAAGGTGAGACGAGCCCTGCACGACGGGATCTATACATGCAGCCTCCGTCTCTCGCATGTTAATCTGTCTGTCTGTCTGACGGTGGCTGGCTGACGGCGTATGTGTGTGTAGATGTTTGAGTTCATCGGTGGTGTCGAGGATACCCAAATGAAGATCACGATGTCCATCTACGAGCAGGATGCCGACAAAAAGAAAAAGGTACACAGATTGGATTGGGCGGAGGGGAGGGCCGATGTGCGTGAGACAGGCAAGGCATTTAGTATGGTGAGGTGCGTCGGATGTGTGTGATACGCTATAGATGCGCGAGGATCTGGCAACGACGACACTGCCCAAGTGGTTCGGCTTCCTCGACAGCCTCGCGGTGCAGAACGGCAGCAACGGATACGCAGTCGGCAGCAAACTCTCACTCGCAGGTCCGCACACACAAACAGCACAGCCGGCCGGTTCACACAGTGGACGAACATACATGGCCTCCTCTGTGTGTGTTGGTGTGCAGACCTGTGGGTGTACATGAGTCTGGGTTGGATCAAGATGGGAGTGCTGGACGGCATCCCCGCCTCGCTGCCCGACAAATACGCCGCACTCAGCAAGGTGGGTGGGTGGGCCAGTCCCAGGACACCACACACAGCACACACATGGATGTGTGTGGATGGATGGGTCGATGGATGTGTGTGTCAGGTGTATGAGACGGTGGACACGCACCCCAAGGTGGTCGAGTGGAACGCGGCGCACGCCAAGCCCCCGCAGTGATCCATGCATCCACCGAGCTCACAAGACACGACTGCATAGCACTTTCATGTGGGAGTGAGTGGAGTGGAGTGGGACTCATGACATTGGACCGCCACTTCTTCCTCTCGTGCCGCGCCATGTCGTGTCGTGTTGTGTCGTGCTCATGAATGTGTGCCTCAGCCAGGACACCGGCCGTCGCTTCTGGTGGTGGTGGTGCATCCACTCACAAGTTTTTCCCGTTTTCATATATGTCGTGACGATCGATGGGTGCGGTATCGTCGTTCATGACACAGCAGAAAGGCTCAGCCAGGCTACATTCCTGCACGAGCTCGGTGCGTGACGTCCGTCCCGAAGCAAGCCGTGGTCTGTGGCTTTCGCTGCCATTGCCCTCTAGACAGACCGACCAGTGCTTGCTCCTAGAGGCCAGCCAGGTTGGTCTGTGCGATTGGCGATGGGTGCGAACGCCGAGGACCACAGTGCTTTAGCGCAAGGGAGAGTTTTATCTGTGCCATGCCGAGTCATTCATCTGTCTTCAATTTCCCAATTTGTACCATTGAGTCATTGCCGTCACGGCCACGGCGTCTCACAGCCCAGTGACCTTGGGCTGTGAGTGTCCGTAGCTGGAGCGGGACTGGCTCAGTGTGTCGCAAAGATGGGGGACTTTCATGCCGAGATACACCTACATATTTCTGCTCTTCTTGATAGGATTCTGGGACGCATTCCTCAAGTCCAATGGACGCATGTTGAGGTTAAGCATCATGGTGGTGTGTATGTAAGAGTCGCAGAAACTGCTCCAGACCCGTCTCTTCTATCATACACAGTCGACAAGTGGAACCCAAATCAAACGATGCAGCACAGGAGAGAGAGACCGACTATCGACCCCACACACAACTTCTCGAAAAACGGCCCCCCTTACTGCTACGTCTCAACGGGCCGCTTCCTGGGCGACCGTGACCGTGACCTCGCTCTCTGTAATTGTGGAGATGTGCTCCTCACCGACCTGCTGCTGCCCTTTCGACCTCCTGCCTTCGACGCCCCAGATGACTCACCACCCCCACCAGCCCCTTGCTTGGTCCAATGTACAGCTTGTGGCCCGTTCAGCTGATGCCCCGGACTCTCCCCATTGCCCTCGCCCGCCAGCAGCAGCGCATCCAGTGGGGTGTCGGTCACAAATCCGCTCCTCTCCAGCACGTCTGCCGCCTCTCGCATCTCCATCTGACTCTGTACAAGGGCGAACAGCGGGTACGGCAGAGAAACGTCCTGCAGGGAGTCGGCCTCCTCGGTCATGCTGATCAGCCGCGTCATCATCGTCCGCAGTGGAGGGGTGCGCGCCAGCTGCCCGCACGAATGGGACTGCTTGACGGCCACTGACCGGAGGACAGGGCAGGGTGGACGGCTGGGGGGCAGGAGTAGGTGCAGCAGGGTGGGGTTGGCCACAGTGAGGTGTGTGAGGGACTGCAGGGGCGGGAGGGCGTTGATCATGGCTCGCAGGAGGCCAGCGCCGGGCGGGCCGCATAGGAAAGAGCTGCCCGCGACGGTGAGGTGGGTCAGCTGTGCCAGGTGCTTGATGAAAGCGAGGGACGAGAGGGGACGGGACACAGTCGATGACCGCAGCTGCTCGCCTGCAGCATGATACAGGCAGGCACACATGTGAAATCGTGTGCCAACGTGTTTGCGTGAAGATGCTCACTTCACTCACCCGCAGCATCGAATCTCCCTCTGAGAGCCACCGAGTGCACCGACAGCAGCGGTGCGATCATCAGCTCCTTGAGGTTGTCGCAGCGGAACCCGTCCCCAACCATCTCGCTCAGCGGCACATCCATCCGTGGCGCTATCACCAGCTTCTCCAGCGCCCCATACGCCTGCCCCGGCACCACGGGCATCGTGCCACCACCACCACCACCATGACGGATCGGGAGGAAAGGCCCCGATAGCTCAAGTGTGCGCAAGGTCGGCACACTCCGGGCCAGCAGATCTCTCAGCGCCGTCCTCTCCCGCCCGGCACTCCCTCCACACGCCAACATGCACTCACTGAGCCGCTGGATGGACTGGAAAAGGCTCGCAGGGTCGCCGCTGATGACGCCACCACGCAGCGAGAGGCGGGTGAGTGAGGGCATCTGCACGCCTGGCGAGATGACGACCTTGATGCGCTGATTGGCGGGCAGGTGGATGTCCAGGCTGAGTATATGTGGGAAGGGGACAGCGGGGAATGAGATGGGTGCTCGAAAGGACTTCGGGGACAGCTGGGTGGTGGAGTTGAGGTGCATGCGGGAGAGCCGCGTGGCCGGACTTCCCTCCTCCCGGCCTGGCGCTCGCTGCTGAACGCTGACGTGGGTGAGGGTGTCGCTGTGCCACCCGATGACAGGCATGAAGCGGCCGAGGGATGATGCCTCACAGACCTCAATGCGCTCGAGCCGCTGGAGGAGTCGGAGGGCGTCTCGACGAGATGACGGTGAGCATGGCGGCTCGTCGCTGGCCTCCGCGTATCCACTCAACTTCAGGCTTCGGATGTTGCTCACTCGTGCCGAGCCGGCCGCGTTGGCAGACTCCGACGCACGGCGAAGACGCACTGGCAGACCTGCACACAGGCAAAACACAACATCCTTCATCTGCCCTTGAGCCTCCTCACTACTCTCGCACCTGTGAGGAATTCTCCCACCCTCCCCTCCCTGTTGAGCAGCTTCGCCACGGCGGATGAGTCGGGCAGATGTAGGAAGGAAAGGTGGTGGCTGGCCTCATCCAAGGCGTCCGACACGGCTGAGAGGGCGAAGATCTCGTTGGCCTCGAGGAAAGGCAGCAGGTTCTGTGACCATATCAACGTGGGGATCTCGCTGACGACAGATGACGACATGCTTATTGGGCTCCGATTGTCAGGACGGAAGTCAGCCGCTTTTTTTTCCCGAGGAACCGGCGGCCGACTCTTTGTTTGGCCATTATATGATTGCGTCTTGATAGCTGCGCTGCGTGTGCTCTGTATCGGTAGCATCTTGACGTGTTGACGTCATGTGTGTCCATGCCATCGATCACAGACAGACAGACAGACAGACAAAGAAGGCCAACACACAACAAGTATGTATGTATTGTGCCATGAAATGAATGTATCTCCGCTATGCACACAACATAACATCACCACCTGTCTGCCTGTCCCAGACACCATGCCAGATAATGACAGACACCTCACTCTCTGCCTCTTCACGGAACGGAACAGTACAAACAAGCCGGCCGGCTGACCAGAACCGATTGCCGTCGCACTGACTCACTGAGTGTATCGTCATTCCCCGGTTCCCTTGTCCGTCTCGCCTGACTGTCCGGTCTCCTCCCTCTCTCGAGTCTTCTCTGCCAACGGCCCCCCGGCATCATCTGGCGACGTCGCCTTGCCCTCCTTCCCCTCATCTCCCTTCTTGTTGCCCTCTTCCGCAGGAACCTTCTCCTTGACGACGACCACAGTATCATCCTTGTCGGTCGCCTTGCGGCCCACCACTTGCGGCTGTGGTGCTAGGGGCATCATGCTCGGGGTGATGTCCTCACTGGCACGTGCAGAGGTGACCCCCCTGATGTAGTGGGGCGGCAGGAAGGGTGTGCCGGATGGGCTGATAGGGGAGCCCGCCCTGAGCTCCATTGGCGACTCATCATATTCGTAGTCCATGTCGTCGTCGATGCGGAAGGCCTCGTCATAGGGGTCGTCTTGGGAGCCGTGGAGGTCCTCAAACTCGATTTGCACATACTGCAGCAAGTAAGCCACCAAGACAGCCACAAAGAGGGACACCCAGGGTGGATGGATGGATGGAGAGAGCGATACATCGATAGCACGGCTGAGTAGTCGGGGGAGAGAGAGGGAGAGGGCAGGGGAGAGAAGAACCGCGGGCTGACATAGAAGCTGCTGGCTGGCTGAGCCCTACAGTCTTGCTGACTCATTCAATGTGACCGTACAGTCAGTATAGCGACGTCAATCATCCCGCCCGACATAGCAGAGGCAGCCCCTCTCCCTGCCCCTCCCCGTCCCTGTCAGCCCAGCCAATGAGGTGAAAGAGCCCCTCCACAGCCTCGTCAAAGCGGAGCTCCGCCAGCACCCATCCAAAATAGCCCTTCCGCTCACTCCGCCGCCAACAGAACAGCTGCCGGCGCGTGTGGGTGGCTGGCTGGGCGAGGGTAGTGGGTGGCTCGCATTCCGGCTCCTCTGGGTGAAAAGGGAAGCGGCTGAGCAGATGACCGGCCTATGGCCACAAAACCAGACAGACACACACAGATATCTGCCCAACCCAACTGTACACCGGGAAGATGCGGGCAGACGAGGCAGGCAAGGCAAGAAGCGACCGCACCGCTTGGCGGCGCGGAAAACTCTACCTACAGCCAGACACTGCTCTCTCTCTCTCTCTGTATGAGGGTCACACCCTTGAGCTGACTGAACCGCATCGCATCGCATCGCATCGCATCGCAGCAAAGCACCGACCGTACAGCAGAGGGTCTGGTCTGATCTGCCCTGGCCTGCCACCCTACGCCCCACTGCCCCGGCCCCCAGCCAGCCTCACATAGCAGTCGTCAGCAACGCCTCCCCCCTTCCCCTCTCCCTCCCCCTCCCCTGTGCTGCCTTGATGCGTGTGATGATGACCATGCGATGCCACCCCTCGCCCTCCCACGGGCCTCACCTTGCGGACATTCTCCTCATGCCGCCGGTCGCGGGCGCCCCTCGCCTGTGTCCGGTCGGCTCCACTGGACGGAGCTTGTGGCTGCTGGGCGATGGACACGACTATGACGCCGACGAAGACCAATAGGCTGCCGAAGAGATACATCCATGTGAACCTGACACACACACACGTAAGTCAACAAACAGACATACAGACATACAAAGGGGCGTGGCGTGTTGCCGGTGTCAGTGTGGCGTCTTCGCCCGCTTACTTGTGTTCTTTGAGTACGATGGCGTCTGCGATGAGAGAGACGGGGATCTGCATGGAAAGGCCCACGGTGGCGATGACGGGCGACAGCAGGATTATGGTCATCGCCCACAGATAGTCACTCAACACTGTGCCCAGTAGACCTGACACACGGATAGATGGATGGATGGATGGAACACACAGCCTTAGAAGGGTGTGGTGTGTGCATCTCCCGTCCCTGTCCGCACCGTTGAGCATCAGGAACCCCCATATGCTCCATGACGGCATCCGAAAAGACTCTATGCCCGTCAGGTCTGCAATCAGCAGCAGGGGAGGACCCACAAGAGCAATCACAATCCCGATGCACCTGCACACACACAACAGACAGACAGACACACACACAGACACACACAGACAGGTGAGCCACTCCATCAGGGATTTCCACGTCTGCCAATCTCGCCCACCCAAAGAAGAAGCCCATATCGATGTCGCGGTCATCAGGCGCCTGCTTCTTGAGCAGCGTGGTGAAGAAGGCATAGCACACGGCCGACAGCACGGCCAGACTTTGCCCCCAGAGGGTGCCCTTGATGTGCTCCCCGATGGTCGCCGGCGTGTTGAGCTCGATCAGGATGACGCCCACGAAGGACACGCATATGGCGAGGAAGGTGGGCATGTGGAAGCGGTCCCGCAGGATGACCAGGGTCAAGAAGTAAGTGAAGAAGGACGACGTCGACGAGAGGACCGTGTTGGTCGCCACGCTCGTGTGAAGGAGGCTCGTGTTGAACGTCAGCTGCGCACCTGATCAATCCATCCATCAGCAAGATGCAGAAGAATACAGAGTGCTGCAGGTCGGTGGCCTTGGGTGCGTCGGTCGGCGAGTGGCGGCTTGGCTTACCGAACCAGAGGAGGCCGAGTGGCACCGCCAGCTGCATGAGTGCCTTCCGCGGGATGGCCTCTGCCACTTCATAAGGCGATCTGCTCTCCTCCTCCTCCTGCAGTATGTCCACCAGCCCCTGACGCACCAGCCGGTCACGACGCCTCTTGGACAAATACGAACGAACCAAAGACGGACCTGACCACACACAGCACACAGAGAGAGAGAGATGCAACAGAGAGAGAGGTTTGGCACATCAAATGCCCGGTTTCTCATGCAGCATGAATGCCGCCCTCATCCCATCTCATCTCTCACCGAGGAGCAGGATGGAGAGGACGGTTTGGACGACGGTCATAAGGAGGGGTTTCTCGTACTTGACGTCCTCGAATATCTTTTGTATGAGGATGCTGGAGCCCACCCACAGCAGAATGACGCCGCCCAAGATGGTGAAACCCAACGCACGCCGCGACGCCGCACCAAACGAGCCGAGACCCAGAGTCGCCATCAGGGAACCAGACGTGGAACCAGCGCTCGTGTGATTATGAATGAACCTTCTGCTCTTCTCTGCTGACGAGTTGACACGTGGAGAAGGGAAGAGCACTTGGTGGAGAAAAGATGGTGCTAAAGGGAAAGCTCGCAGAGAGTTACGTGAAACGCATCGCGACCGGGGTTAAAACATGGATAAAAAGGGCTGAAAGGTGGCGGACGATGCCATCCTGAGTGCCCTGTGACCAACCCACCTGTTTGCCGGTCCGCATCTGTGTGACATCTGCCGCCCAGCATGGCCAAGAACGAGGGCAGCTCCAAGCGGGATGCGGACGACCTGGTGGAGGACATCTTCATGTCCCTGCTCTTCGGGGTCATCAGCGCCCTGTCCCTCATCATCGGGGCCTTCATCGGCATCGTGCGCCTGCCGCCCCTCACCGTCCGGGCGGCACTCATGGCATTCGGTGGCGGCGCCCTCCTCTTCGCCCTCACACTGGAGCTCTTCGGACACGCCGTACACGAGCTCGAGGAACACGAAGTCTTCGGTAGGGGGGGGAGGAAGGGGAAAGAGGAAGAGCCCCGCGCAAGGCGCGTCCATCCATATGTTTCTTTCCATCCATCTGTGGTGTGGGCAGGTCGGAAGCTCATCGGCACCATGTTTGGGGCATCGCTTGGCGGCGGTCTTTTTTTCGCGGGTCTGAACCGCATTCTCAACTCGCAGGGTGCGTGGATCCGCAAGCCGGCGCTGGTCAAGGCGTCGTTCGACAAGATCCGCCGGCTCTTCGCCAGCACCATCGTCAAGCGGCTGCGCAAGATACCCATGTTCCAGGACCTCCCCGACGAGGAGCTCTACAGACTCGTGGAGGAGATGCAGACTGAACGGTAAGAGGAGATGCAGACTGAACGGTAAGATCATCGACAAGGCGGGGAGGAGCGAAAAGACAGTTTACACATTCCACCCATCTGGTCCATCCGTCCATCCGTCCATCCATCTATGTGTGTGCAGTTATCGGAAGGACGACGTGATATTCCACGACCTGGACGAGTACACGTCTCTCTATGTGGTGGTGACGGGCCAGGTCATGATCGAGCTCAAGGAGGACAGGGCGGCCACACTCGCGGCCGACCCAACCTCCTTCCGCAAACTCAAGGAAGATATCGATAAGCACCAGCAGCAGCAGCAGCAGCAGCAGGAGGGGCAGCAGGAGGAGGGCGGGGAGGGAGGTGTGGCTGGGGGTGAGGCGAGCAAGAAATACGAGGTGGGCAAGAGCCACCGCCGCGCGTCGGTGCGCAAGTCGGAGATCCTGGAGGTGTTCATCGCTGGTCAGTGGTCGGCTGGATGGATGGATCGGAGGGGCGGGGGATGGGGGGCATGGATGTCGTATCTGTGTGGCATCTATGTTGTGTCAGGTCCCAACGATTTGTTTGGTGAGATGTCTCTGCTGGCTGGCGTGTCGCTGCGTGCCGAAGCGACGGCCATGGAGCCGACCAAGGTGCTGCGCATACCTAACTCAGCCATGCACCGACTACTCGCTTCAAGTACACTGCACCCAACCAACACACACAGCATGCCGCATCCACGTCCATCCATCGAACCATCAGGCACGGCGTTGCAGGAGAAGGTAGCGGCAATGGCGATCAAGAACTTCCAGGAGGAAGAGGCCTTCAAAGACGTACCTGCAGGTCGGGCGGGGGGGTGGGGGCGACACACAGAGGTCCCATGGAGTGTGATGTGTGTATGTTGGTTGTTTGTGTGTGGGGGTGCAGAGGTGCTGGTTCAGATGACCAACTACATGCACCACGAGGAGATCCCCGCGGGCGAGGTCATCTTCGTCGAAGTCGACCACACCACACCCATCTACTTCATCGTTTTCGGAGAGGTACACACCTCAATGACAGACAGACAGACAGACAGACAGACAGCAGGCAGCCAGAGAACCAGAGACGGTTGTGAATGTGTGTATTGTGTGGTGTGTGGGTGTCAGGTTCAAGTGACGTATGTCGATCAGCGTGTGGACCAATTGGGCTCCCACGACCTCATCGGCCTGGACCACCTACAGACCGGCAAAACCGTCCAGTAAGCCTCTCTCCTCCCCTCCCCTCACACACACGTTGAGACACGTGTGTGTGTGTCACGTGGGCAGGGCGACGGCGATAGCTACGGAGCAGACGACGTTGCTGAGGTTGACGCGTGAGGACCTGACGCACATAGTGGAGACGGGCGATAAGGGCAAGGCGCTGCAGCGGGCGCTCGAGAGTGTCCCCAACAAGGAAATCACCAGACACGAGTCCGTGCGAAAGAGCAAAGTGGTCCCGAGTAAGCAAAGCCAAAGCGAGCCACTCATAAACAACCACCAACACGTGAACTGTGTGTGTATCGTGGCTACATATCTGCACCAACCGACCGTCGTGTGTCTGAGATAGAGGTGTCGCAGCAGCGTGCCCTGGGGTGGGAGCGCATACCGTCCGATGTGGTCAGTCACATCACAGACAGATCTCTGATCCACACACCACACCCACATCCATCCCCGCTCATCTGAATGTCTATCGATGTGTGTGGCCTGCCTGCCTGCCTGCGTCAGAAACCCGAGGATTTGGAGGGCATGCAGCACGACCAGATCCGGCACATGCTCAGCAAGGCACACGACAGTCAGCTACCTACCCACCCACACCCGCCCCAGATGTCACTGACCCCTCCCTCCATGTGTGTGTGTGTGTATCAGCATCGAGCCGTAGCGTTCATGAAGGAGACCAAGGACGAGCAGCAGCAGAAGAAGCTCCGCAAGGGGCGCAGCAGGCTCAGCGTCCTGCTGCCCACCATACCGCAGGAAAAGACCAAGGATTACGTACGTACGCACCGATCAATGCAATGCACACACAGCCAAGGACAGGACAGGACAGGACAGGCAGGTCAACGGTCGGTCTTTCCAATCTCTCGTCGTCTCACTCAGGAGGAGTTGTTAGAGGACGACGCCGACCCCGTCGCAGAGGCAATTATCCATCCATCCACACGCACACCCACCCACCCCCCACACCCACCCATCCACCCCTCCCTGTTTGGTTGCTTTGTCCCCCATTGATTTGGTTGGTGCAGTTGGCCGAGGCCCGTCAGCTGATGATGCAGATCACCGAGGAGGAGGAGGGCCCCACCAGCGCCCGGCTCGGCCGCGAGATGCTCACCGACATCGCCGCACACGAGGACGTCGAGAAGCCCCACGGCGAGAAGGGCCACGGCCACGGCCATGGAGGGGGCAGCGCGCAGGCGGCCGTGATGATATGGCTGGGCATTCTGATCGACGCGGTGCCAGAGTCGCTGGTGATCGGCATTCTGTGGGTCAGCAAGGGGCTGGGGGGCATGCTGCCCTTCCTCATCGGCGTCTTCCTGTCCAACCTCCCGGAGGCCATGTCCTCCAGCGGCACCATGAGGGTATGTATGCATTGGTCCTGGGGGCACACACACGGCTCCGTCAGTCAGTGTGTGTGTGTGTGTTTGTAGGCGAGTGGGATGCGTGTGCCGACGATCTACCTGATGTGGACGGGCATAGTGATAGTGACGGGCGTGGGTGCGGGCATCGGGCCGCCATATTTCCCCCCGGAGACAAAAGCGAGGGAGAAGAGGTCAGTCAGCTCAGCGGAGCGATAGATACCAACTACAATAATGGTGTGGGTTGGTTGTGTGTGTGTATGTTTGGGGGGCCGCTGTCCGTTTGTCAGTTGGCCATAGGTGCGGTGGAGGGTTTGGCAGCCGGAGCGATGCTGACCATGATAGCACAGACCATGCTGCCGGAGGCCTTCGACTAGGCAAGAAAGATCGATGAGACACACTCAGACAGACAGACGCGTGCGTCTCCATGTGTCTGTATCTGTGTCTATATCTGTATCTGTGTCTGTGTGTGTGTGTGTGAATGCAATAAATCAGGGCGGCGATGTGGTGGGCCTGTCATGTCTGCTGGGGTTCCTCTCCGCCCTGGCCGTCAAACTCATACCCATGGACGACTAACTAAACCAACTAGTCCACACATATATCGACAGCTTCTGTCCCTACCCTACACCACACCACCCCGCCCCCCCCCTCCCTCTCTGCGTGGCATCCATGTGTGTGTGTGTGTGTGTGTGTGTGCGTGTATGTGTTTTAAGCTCTGCTTGCATTCTGCACAAACATAGGAAACATAGGAGGGGCATGCACGTGGGTGGATGGATGGGGTGTGCAGAGAGCTATTGGTGGGCGTTGAGGTGGGTGGGTGGATGGATGGATGGATGCGGGGGTCGTCGGTTTTGCTACGGATTTGGCTGCGATCTCCTTTTCTGTTTATGTGGTGGAGAATTGCTTGACCGAGTTGTCAGTCGGTTTGGCGTGGACTGGCTGCTTCTCTCCGTTTGTTGCGCCCATTAGCGAGCGGAACTGACGTCAAAGATACATGGAAATGAGAAGTATCACCTCACCGACCATTCTCCGTCCTTGCATCCCGCACACGCACACACATGCTGATGATATCCGCGCGCCAATGCACCAATCAGTCAATCCAGACTCTGCAGCTCTTTGATGTCGAAATCAATCACGTGAAACACCTGACACACACACACACGAGACACACGAAGCCAATCCGCCCCCCAACCCTCATCCTCGCTCCCTCCCTCCCTCCCTCTCCTCCTGGCGTCAAAGACCTGTGCCAGTGAACTTGGGCAGTAGAGTGCATCGGTCTCCGTGCCACCGGCCATCTCCACATCGATGCAGTAGCACGTCGTCAGGGTGTCGGCCGAGGTGCCCAGCAGCAGGAGGAAGGCATTAGACACCCACAGGGACAGCACCAGCACAAGGGGCAGAGACATGACGGGCGAGTGGTGAGCTCGCGAGTGGAGCGACGTCTCGATGCCCAGCAGGTAGTGCACTACCGTGAACTCATCTGCACGTGTGGGTGTGCACACACACACACACACAGAAAGAGAGAGAGAGAGAGAGAATCCTCCTCTGTGTGTGCGTGCGTTGTGTGTGTGGGGGAGCGAGCAGCTGACCTACCGGCCCCCGGAGCTCTGAAGGTGATGTATGCGAGGAATATGACGACGACGGCTATGATGAAGTTGAGGATTTGGGCCACGGGGATCTTGTCGCTCGACAAATGGGGGATCTTGCCTGCAGCCATCACACCCATACCATCCAGGTAGGGTAGGCACCAGCCGACACACAGCCAAGAGACATGTACACGTCTACCTACCGAAGTTCCGATTGAGCAGTGCTTCGATCCTGAGGGCGGCCTGCATGTAGGGGTACCCCAGCAATGCAACCTACACACAGGCGAAAGGCGCAAGACCACGCATTGGCCGCAACCATTATATTTCGGTGCGTCTCCCTCCCTCCCTCTCACTGACTGACCATGACGTATGCCGAGTCGGTGAAGTACCTCATGACCCGCGTCTCCAGGGCTATCAGCGGCATCAACACATAATACAACACTCTGATGGTTGGTTGGTTCGTTGGTTGGTGCACAGACAGACAGAGAGACGTCCCACATACACACACACACACATGAACCGGATGTGCCTTTCATGTCTCTCCCTGCCTCTTCACGTCGTTACATGCCTGTGTGTCTGCGATTCCGAAGGGTCGAATTCTGCCGGTATGAGGGGGGTCAGAATATACCGCAGCACCCGCACCGGCAGATTCAGCAGAGAACCAAAAGCCAAAGTACCCTGCACGCACAGCCACACACACACACACACACACCCAGACCACAAACAACGCCTCACACCCATGGATTTCCCGAATGCCGTCGTGTGAGGTGACAAAGGGACCAGGTGGAATCTTAGATTGAGCATTCCCTGCAAGGCCTCCGACCCGATGTTGATCGTCCCATCGGGCGTGAGCAGCCCACCACGGGGCTTCACGTCTTCGCCGCCATACCCTGCACGAGACACACACACAAACATACATACAGACACAAAGGGGTGGGTGACGGACAAGGAGGATTCTCTGCTCGCCTGATATCAGTGAGGGTGCTGCAGTGCTCCTCCCCGCTGCGATGGATGCAGTGCCGGCTGTGCGGGCGGTGTGCAGCAGGTGGGGGGGCAGACGGAAGTAATTCGCACACAACACTGCGCACACACAGGAACATTTTGTCGTGTGTCCTGGCGACCCGTCTCAGCCCTTCCCTCCGCCACCTGATGCGGCGACGAATTTGACGCACGCGGCGAGGAATTCGAGTGCCCACACGAGCAGAAAGCTCCACAGGATGAAGTAGAGGAGGAACACCGCACTGAACGACCTGCGGGCACCAAGAGGGGAAAGAGGGGAAATGGGTCTAAGGATCCAGCCATCCATCTGTCTGTCTAATGATCGTTGCCGCTGATACTGACATGGTCTTGACGGTCTCGATTTCGCCGAAGAGCTCCACCTCGGTCGAGCGCGGGCTGCCGCGAACAGACATCAATACATACGCAGATTTCACACTTGATGCCTTCCGTGTGTCCGTCCATACCTTCTGACCCCCATGAGCAGGACAGCCACCTGGGCCCACTGCACGATAAGGAAGAGCTCTGTCACCGACAGCACCAGCACGAGCACCAGCAGCAGGGGCGACTTGGCGACGTACCCAATGGTCCCCCTGAATATCCTGAACAGCTCCGCCCGGTACCTCAGCGACCGCATCGACACCACCAGCACCACCAGCCCCAACACGGCCAGGCCGTACTTGAGCAGCGGCGCCAGCTGCAACGAGTAGAAGTGCGCCTTCTCGAACACTATGTCCCTGATACACACATAGACAGACACGCAAGTCTCACACACGGAGATAGATGACAACGCCCAAGACCCCTTACTTTGCGAATCGTCGCTGGTCGACGTGAATGAGGTATGCGAGGTAGAAGAGCAGCCCACACCCCACCACCACACACCCGATGGCTGTCACAGTCGGCATCGCGCGAATCGCCATGATGGCCACGGCCCCCAGCAGCAGAGAGGTCGACAGCACGGCGGCCAGCAGCTGCGGATTGGAGAAGACCGTCGCCCACGCGTGGTAGAGCTCCTGCTGCAGCGAACCGTAGGTCACGGCCTCGCCAGCTATGTCGTGGTCCATCGGGAGGCAGTTGTAGTTGATGCCCAGCACCGACGCATACGAGTGGTGCGTGTAGAGCTTCGCCATGGGCCCATCGGGCACCGTGAAGGTCAGTCCCTCTGCGCCGTTGGGGCATTCCTTGACGCACACGCGGATGTCGCTCATCAGGGGGTTGGGGAAGTAGCCGTAGGGCTTGTCCGACACATCCGGGTCCAGACCACACATGGCGCCTGCAACACACACACACGTGTGTGCATCGTCCCTCTCCGCCTCCCTCTCCCTCTCCCTCTCACCGTTGAAGTCAGTGGGGTAGAAGAGTCTGTGCGGGTTGCCGTACTGTTGGGCCTCGCCGAAGATGAACAACGCGAACAGCACCGCACCGGCAAGGATGAAAAGGCCGAACACGTCAGTGCACCGCCGACGTGTGGCCAGCCCGTCCACCTCCTGAGTGAGTGCAGCGATGGATAGATGGACACTGCATGGGCAGAAACCGTGGCATCTGCGGCTCGGGCGCACCTGTCTGCCAAAGACGGAGAAGGCTTCATCCTCTGAGATGAGATACTGATACGCCACGCCCTCCGACTCATCAGCCAGCCTGCACACACACCGCACACCACATTGAAGAGAAGAGGACTTCTGATGGCCATGGAGATCTTTCGGTATTCCATCCATCCATCCAATGGGTTACCCGCGTCCTTTCTTGGTTTTGCCCCTGCCGCCTCGCTTGAGGCGCTGGTGCCGCCTGCTCGGCAAACCAACCGCAGCAAACCCCTCAACAGCCATCAGTGCAGCCCTCGGATAGTTTCAGATTCTCGCCGTCGGAGACGGGCCCCCAGAATTAAAATTGAGTGCGTCTTCCCCGAAATTGCCCGGAATTGCCCGGAATTGCCTTCCTCGCTCGTTCTCCTCCTCGTCGGGGCGCCACAGCTAGGAATCTTCTTCCGGTATTCGTCCGCCACGCAGCATCACGCAGCCCGGACGGCGCCTTCTCCACCACCGCGCACATCATCGTTGCTGCTCGATGATGTGCGCGTGTCCGTTCTAACTTCCTTCCTTGGCAACGCCAGAGGCGAACTCGAGCCGCGACGCCCAAACTATTGCGAGGCTCAACACAAAGCAAGGAAGAGCTTGACGAGGTCAAAGCAGAGAACTGATGCCGTCCGTCTTCCCTCTCTCCCGAGATGGAGGGTTTCTTTGTCTGCGGCTGCGGCCGAGTGCTCCCTGACTTCGTATGGTACGACGACATCAACGGCATGCATACCTTCATCGCACACGTCTTCGCCGTCTACTGCAGGCGCCGGAATGCTACGACTTCAAGTACGGAAAGGCCTCAGATATGTTCGCAGTGGGCGTCATCTTGTGAGCCCACGTCAAGCTTCTTTGAAATGGCATGCATTTATCTCTGTTGTGTGGCTTCCTGCAGATTCATGTTAATCTACAACGAAATGCGATGGGAACTTGACGAGGCCATATATATATATGAGGAAATCCCTTCTTGTCTCCTGTCGTCATACGATTGCCTTTTCCTTCCAGCCGACGGTGAGGGTAACGAAGAGCGGCAGACGAGGCCTCCCACTTTCCCCACGCTGGGCAGGAGGCTTAGTCTCGCCCTGGTCGCCCAGCAACAGAGCAGCAGCAGCCGGAGTGAAGAACGACCGCACGGCCATCATTCTGGAGGAGGGTGTGGTGAACAGCAATGACTACAAGGAGCTGATGGAGGTCGTCCACAACCTGCACCTGCCGACGGCCATCCTGTTTCTCCCCAAGCGCACCGCCACCGCCATCCTGCACACGTACACGACACTGGCTGGGTACACCCCGGTTGAGGCCCTTATCTTCCATGACGAGCACAAGAGCAAGGAGGAGCTGAACGGCATCGGCATCGCAGGCGTCGAGATCGGAGTGGCCGTCACCGACGTGGCCAACATGCCCATCGAGCCGCAGCAGCAGCACCTCGCCCACGTCGCCCCCAGCATCCCCAAACAGGCAGACTTCCACCTCCTCATGACCACCTATGCTCCCTTGCCAGGGGTGCGTGGGTGGTCATGCCCCCAGGATCTCCGACCGGTCTGCCCCCAGCCCATGACGGGGCCATCAGCGCGTTTGCTCGAGACTACGGCTACGGCTTCGCACTTCAGGGCATGGAGGAGTAAGTACGCCAGTAAGGCGATAGACTGCTGGGGAGATGTGGGTGATGACATAAGACGACAAGAGGTCCGACACCACAAAGATATCCACGAGCTCAAGGTAGTTGAAATTCAGGCACATGAGGACGTTCCAGCTACTGTTGTGCGATATCTTGGTGCATCCACCTCACAGGGCGGAGACTCGCCACTGGTACGCATACACAATGCACATGACCTGCAGATGTGCTCTTTCTTGATCTCTGTTTCTTCAGGCTCTTCAGCGTAGGGACACCAGAGAGCTCACAGTCTCGGGTGGCGCTGTCGAGCCGAGAAACCTGCGGACAGAAGGACGGCCCCGAACACTTGCATTCTCCAAGCAGAAGGTACTGCAGCTTTCTGCCGCCAGCATATTATCTCTTTCCGTCTGTCCTCGTCAGCCGGCAGTCAAAAAAGAAGTGAATACTCAAGAACCAACTAGACAACCTATGACGAGAGTGCCGCAACGTAAGTAGCAAATTCGACACTCAAGGACGTGACACATGCACACTTGTGTTTCGTCTGTGGTGTCTCGCGCACGAACATTAATCAGGCGTGGCCATTCGACCGACCAACCAACGCGCCGCCCAACACCCACTCCTCTCAGCAACCACACACACCAGGCAAGTCAAATGACTCATACGAGTCTTATGTGTGCATGTACGGGTTCTCCTATCTTTCTGTGCTTCCTTACACGACCAGGGCAAGAATCGATGCAAAGAGAAGAAAAAGCTGACAGAACATCTACTGTAGTAGGAGACACCTGGCGTCGCCCCTGTGTCACTGAATCGACACAGACGACGATTGAGGTCAAGGGATCTGTGGTTATGTCCACTTCTTCGTGTAGGAATACGAAGAGACCAAGGAAGAGCTCAGCCGCCGCAACGCCGAGGCCAATGCCTTCCGGGAGGAGGCCATGGGAATCATCGCGCGACAGCAAGAGGCAATTCGGTGCGCCATGGAGAGAATCGATAGGCTGGAGGCGTCGGGGGAGGCGAAAAGGGTGCAGTCGGTCGGTGTCCAGGCGAAGGTGTTAGAGGGTCCACAGAAGCAGAGGGGCAAAAGCCTCGACGAGAATGCATCCGTCTTGACCTGTATGTCTGTCTCCACCTCTCTCCCGGTCTGCAGCTCCGTCACTGACCCTTCTGCAGGGTGACAACCAAGACGAAGGCTCCAGCCGGCAGAGAGGGTCAAGGCCAAGGCATATCAAAACGGCCGAAATGACCCTCTCTCTCGAGATGGAGGGTTTCTTTCTCTGCGGCTGCGGCCGAGTGCTCCCCGACTTCGTCAGCCAGTGTCCGGAGTGCAAGGCCCTCGAGGTAAAGCTCCTCCCACGCCTGCTTGATCCACTCATCCATCCATCCATTCGTTCCTTGTCCCCTGTTGTCATACGATTGTCTTTCAGCCGACGGTGAGGGTAACAAAGAGCGGCAGACGAGGCCTCCCACCTTCCCCACGCGTCACATCCTTCCTCTGTGTCTGCGTTTGTCCACCTGCATGTGTGTGTGGGCAGGCGGAGGAGGCGCCAAGAAGAAGGCTAGCTGACTATAGTCCAGCGACCATACCATCAAAGAAATGCGCTGTCTGCTGTCTGTCTGTGTGTGTGTGTGTGTGTGTGTTGTGTGCAGGCAAGAAGGGACCCGCGGCGAGCAGCATCCAGCAGGTGCTGCACGTCGTCGGGCCCAACCTGCTGCGGCAGCAGGTGGCCAAGAGAGGGGCTGGTGGCACCTTCGATGGCCATCGAGTGGCACAATCAAGGGAAGCCCAAGGACTACGGCCTCGGTAAGAGAAAGAGCCTCCACGACCGGCATGATGAGCCTGTGGTTGAAGGCCTGCCATGTTGTGTATGATCGTCAGCCCACGGACACACACTCGACCAGGTCGTGAAGGAGGAGCTCGACGCCTTTTGCGGCGAGGTGAGTCCCCACGGTATCATCAGTCTCGCAGACGCGTGAAATGGTTCATCTGCCTGTCTACTGCTGTGGGCTCCTGCAGGCGAAGCCACTCAAGCGCAAGAAGGGCAAGCACCGCAAGTATGCACGGCTGAAGACTGGGGGAAGGAAGCGGCGCCAGGAGGTCTCTCTGCCTGTAATTTGTCTCTTTGTGTGTGCTTTGTTGTAGGTAGATAACTCCCCAGCAAAGCCGCCGGGCCTGCTGTGTGAGCATGCGTGAGATGTGATCGATGGCGTGCGGTTGCGTGGTGTTCTGTCTCTCTCCCCTTGGTATGGTATGTGGTATGCAGGCCAAGGACAGCGGCGGGACGAACCGCTGCCTACATTTTATATCGTTGTTTGTTCCTGGGCATGTATCTCCGTTCTGATCTATCAGTGAGACGCCGTGCAGGGGGTGTTGTGTGTTTTATCTACCTGGATGGAAGGGACAATGACCGTTGGTCGATGTGCTGCTGCTTGTCCGCGAAGAGAAGGATGGTAGATCTATGTGTGGACGAGCATATTTGTGCGTGCCGTGCGTGTGCGTCTGGATGTGTGGGTGCTGTAGCCATCTGTCACTCGACACTGTGTGTACCATATACCCCATTGATGTGCTGATTCATCGATGGCCACACTGAGTATCTCACACACAGGTCAGTCAGTCAGTCAGTCAGTTCGTCATCATACCAACAGACGGATTGAGAACACCCTCCAAGCAGCCAGTCAGCCACCGTCCCCATGGCACGCAGTGCAGGCAGCAGGTGAGCCATCACTGACTGCATCGTTCACGAGACACCTGCCTAGCCTAGGTGGGTGGGTGAGCACAGGAACACCTGCCTGCCTGCCTGCTTGCATTCCATCCACCGCCGTCCACACTGTCGAGCGCCGCTTGCAAAGATAACACAGTGCCGCGCGACAGGGAAGCACTCGAGTGAGTCAGACGGCGACAACCATACCATCCACAAATCAAAGTCCCCCCCATCCCTGCCACCCAAACCTGTCTATGTCCGCATCTCATGTGAGCTGCAGCGACCTGAATGTCTCCCTCCCGTCCCGCCTCTTCTCGACCCACCCCACAGCCACCCACACCACCGCAGCCACATCTTTGCTGAAGCCGTTGTCGATCTCCCCCGCCAGCCCCCACTTAGCCGCCTCGTCCAGGATGGCCCGCTGCACCACCTCACGCAACTCCATCTTGCGGCCACCCACACCGCCCACCACAAAGCACTGCAGCTGCGGCACACGCACCACCTGGCCGCCCACATCGGCCGTCCCGCCCACCACCTCCCTGTTGCTGCTGGCCCTGTACACTGCCGAGTGGACGAAGTGCTCCGCTGCCGCACACACACGGCGGGCCATGTCGCTGCGCCGCACACCGATGGCCTCACTGATGGCCTCCTGGGCGGCGTCCATGTCGAAGAGGTATGACGCGATGCGCCGGCCGAAGATGGGGGCCTCCTGCGGGCCGACGGCCAGCCGGAGGGTCAGAAGGGCCGCGAGGGAGCGGTGGGGGGCGAGGGCGGCGTTGACGGCTGACATGACGGCAGGGCCCACCTTGTTGAGCACCGTGGCGTACTCCGTCAGCACCAACTGACGCTCGCGGCGACGGTCCTCTGTGGCTGTGGGGATGAGATTGATGTCGGCCGCCGCCCGCAGCAGGCTGCGGATTGTCAGCTTGAACCTGTCACTTTCGGCGCGATTTCGCTCCTTAGTGTGCTCGGGCGTCTCCGGGTCCTGAAGCTCTCGAGTTCGACGATCGAGCTCCTCGGCAGCCATGGCGAGGGGCGTGTGGCCGCGGTTGTCCTGTCCGTTGATCTGGTCAGCGGGCAGCTTGCGGCAGAGGTGGTCGGCCACTTGGGGAGAGCCATGCACTGCCGCGAAGCACAGTGGCGTCCATCCAATGCCGACGGCTTCCGTCATGTCGGCCCCGTGCTGTGTGATGAGGTCGAGGTAGGCGTCGATGAAGGACTTGGAGTAGTACCCCCGCGCCCGCAAGGCGGCCTCGCGCACCAGGTTGCCACCCGCCCCATTTCCTTCGGTGGCGAGGGTGGGGTCCTCTCGGATGAGGCGCTCATACATCGACATGAGCACCTTCTCATACTCGGGGGGAACGGGGCTCTCCGGGGGCCACAAAGATAGCACGCAGAGTCCACCTCCACGCAGGCGGATGCCGGGCCGCTCCATCAGCAGCTTGAAGGCCGTCTCGTTGCCTGCGCAAATGGCCCTTTGGAGGGGCGGCGACCAAAACCAGCTTGGCGTGTTGATGTCGGCGCCTCCGTCGATGAGTGCGGTCATGACGGCCTCCTGCAGCCCAGCAGACGACCACTGCGGTAGGACAGCGGGGCGGCTAGCACCCTCATCGGCTTCTGCACGGATGGTCGGCATCGCGTTGTCTGACAGGTTGTCAATGGCAAGACAAAGCAGCGAGTGGGCGCGGCCACGACACTTGCTGGGGGGGCTGCCGGGCCAATTACGCATGCTGCCCTTCTTCCGCAGCCGAGAGACGACGTTTGGGTCGGCTCCTTGCTGCCGAATGAGGTCGGTCACTTGGTGTGGGGTGATGATGCGGCCGATGATACTCAGTGTCAGCTCCTTGGTGGCCTCGGTGGTGCCAAGAGGGAAGCGAGCCTCGATGTCATTGACGCCCACACAGCCGTCTGCGACAGTCACGCCAGTGGCCGCCACCACAGGGTGACCTGCAGCACAATGCACAGAGCCACCACACGAGGCGGGCACACAGTGAGTGTGTGTGTAGCCTTGTCACATCTGTGTGTCAGGCGTACCATGCTCCTGGTAGCCGTCGCCGAGTGGGTCACCCCGATCACCTGAGTCCTCACTGTCGTCGCCATCACCATCCGCCTCCTGCATGGTATCCCGAAACCACACACAAAGGGGCAAGGAAGAACGTGACGGACATCGAATCGACGGGGAGTGTGTTCATGAGTGCCTCACCGGTTCGCTATCGGCTCCTGCCTGTGCACTTTCCACCTCATCGGCCGTTGCCTCGGCCATTCCGCCCTCCTCCTTCTGCTGCTCGTCTGACCACAGACACAGTCGACGCACCGACAGAGAACACATGAGTGTGCCGTACTGCTAGTGTGTTGACTGGCCTGTGTGGCATGATATCGAATATCACTCACCACTATCAACGCCGCGATTGCGATTGTCGTCCTCTGTTGGTCCGCCGCCGCTATGCCCCTCCTCGCCTAAATTGTCTGCAGACACAATGAAACGCACAACCGCATAAACGCAGTGGCGGGATGCCGTATGTGTGATGTGTTGTGCATTTGGTTGTGGTGTACCTGCATCGCCACCGTCACCGTCACCGTCAGCCATGGCAGCGGAGGCCATGCCGATGCCGTAAGACTCAGACATCACTCAAACACACACCAATTGACAGCTGCATCCACCACAGAGAGAGAGCCATGAGATGGGTTATGCACCTGGTGGAAGCTTTGTGTCTGTGCCTGCCCACCTATCGTGTGTCGAATTATGGACACAGACGAGCAAACAAGCGAGCAAACTGCCAATCGGTCCCGCCGATAAGGAGACCTGCACAACACAAGATACCGACACACAGAGGCAGCAGCGAATCACATGGCTGACTCGTGATGAGCCAATTGCATCCCCACTCACCCTCGGATAACAGCTGCTGGACACGTTGCTGGACAACGGCCATGGGACAACGGGTCTGTGAACTCCAATTGGTGAACTCAGTCTGCAGCTGCTGCCGCGCCGAGAGAACGTACGTGACTCACAAGCGATGGAAAGGCTGCCGATGGATCAAGGAAGGCGGCTGCACGATGAGCAATGAGTGGGGAGCATTTCTCTCACGTTAGGGTTTGAACCCTACACCCTGCGGGGCGAGCTGAGCTAAGAGAAGTGCCCGTGATTTTTTGGCAGATCATTGACAGTGGAGCGACCAGGCGACCTCAATACACCACGGGCGTCTCCCAGTTTCCGTCTCATTGTGGTTTGTGGGTCCAGGTTGGCAGATCTGCTTTGATCTGTGTGAGGTGAGGGCCCCTCCTGCAGAGGACAGGACACGAGAAGGTACGTGGGCAGGCGGGAAGGAGCACCTAGGGCGTCGTCGGTGGACAAACGGCCCTCATTTCTCATTGTGTGTGTGTCACTCTCAGGTCGTCAAGCGGCGGCAGTAAGTATGAGGCCCTCTCTCTGCCCACCACCTAGCCCCACTCATGGCCGCACGACAAGCAGCAGCTGAGCAGCAACAGGAGAGCGCCGCGGAGTCCCCGATGGACGTCGACGCCGTGCAGCAACTCCAGAGCGGCGATGAACCTGACCGTAAGCACCGAACTGCATCTCAGACGCAATCACACTCGTAGCACTTGATTTGTGTCCATGTGTGTGCCCATGGTTGATTGTGTTCAGGTGAGGACAATGAGGAGGGCGGTGTGATGGCCGATGGGAGCCAATCGGTGAGGCATTCATTCGCGAGCACCCCGTCCGTCCATGTGACGCTCGTCACCTGGCTGTTCTCCCATTGCCTCTGTGTCGCTGTGTCAGGACGGTGGTATGCAGGACGACAGTGACGACGGAGGGATGCTGGACGAAGACCAAGACCAAGACGACGAGATGGATGACAGTGAGGGGGACGACGGCAGTGACTCAGACAGCGACGGTCATGACGATGGCTATGAGGAGAACGGTACGCCAGGCAGATAGACACATGAGAGGGAGGGAGGGAGGTGCGGGCCCATACATGCATTCGTTGTCGGTGTGCGTCGTCTGATGACGGTGTGTGTTGTAGGTAACCCGGTGGTGCCAATCACCTCGGTCGACGTACCAGACGGTTGTTTGGGTGTCAATGACATCGAGGCTCGCTTCCCTCTCGGCACCAACGAGGCCACCAAGGAGCTGGCATTGGGCATCATCGGCCGCACCATCATCGACCCACGCCAAGTGACCACCCTCATCCGGCAGCACCAGGGCGCCGAGCCGGATATCGCCCCGAAGCTGCGGCAGAAGGGCAGCAACTGTCGTGGCGATCGTCCCTGCTCCCTGGTCCATCTCGCCATTGACAACAAGTCGGACTACACCGTCGAGACCATCCATGCAGAAGCCGATGAGGGTGCTATCCGTCCCGTGGCCCTTCCGAAGTGGCCGTCTGACGAGCTGGAGGAGGGCATCCTGACCGCACTCATTGACGGAGGCGCCGACCTCAACACGGACTTGGACAGGCCCCTTCGAGGGGCGATCCAACGGGGCAGGAAGACGGTATTCGACCTGCTGATGGAGCGGGACGACATCGATCTGCGCGGAGCAACGGCGATGGAGCTACCCGACCCGCGTCGTCAGCCTCCCTCTTGAGTACCAGGCGCTGCTGCTGTCGATGTACGAGGAGCTCATCGACCGCGACCCCACCCTCGCCACCGAAGAACGCAACGACATGAACCTGGTGTACAGGGCAGCCCTTTGGGCCAAGGGGTTCTATCAGCAGTCGTTCATCAGCAGCTACCTAGACCTCATCACACAGCACGGGGCCGACATGCTGGCAGTCGATGGCATTGGATACACGCCATTGCACCTGGCGGCACTGCGTGGGTCTCCCTACGTGGCTGACTACCTCTGCCGCAAGCTGCCCGCTGACCAGATCGACAGACGGACGCGCCACGGCAAGACGCCCCTCGCCACAGCTGCCTATTGGCTCGATCTCGACACCCAACACCTGCAGGACCCGGACACACCCGAGGCCATCAAGGAGGAGTATCGCGCCAGAATTGACAACCTCAAGCTGATCATCCATTCGCTGCTGCGAGCGGGAGGCGACATCAGCACCATCCCCACAGCCACAGAGGAGCGCCGCCGTCAGCTTCGGCTGGTGCTGACCGAGTATGCCACGGTGCTCAACGAGCTGCCTATCGCTGTGATGTCGGCCGTCAACGCCGCCCTCGCCCCCCACCGCTCCCTCGCGGCCCTCCTGACCCCCCGGCTAGCCGTCGGCCCGCAAGAGGCCCCCATCTTCGGCTGGCGCATGGCGTCATACCTCTTCGACATGGATGCCGCCCAGGAGGCCATCAGTGAGACCATCGGTGTGCGGCACAGCGACATGGCCCGCCGTGTGTGTGCGGCAGCGGAGCACTTCGTCAAGTCGGCGGCGTACCAGGCCAGCAGCAACAGGGAGGTGGTGGGCGGGACGGCCGATGTGGGCGGCCAGATGGTGCGTGTGCCGCAGCTGCAGTGCTTTGTGGTGGGCGGTGTGGGCGGTGTGGGCGGCCGCAAGATGGAGTTGCGTGAGGTGGTGCAGCGGGCCATCCTGGACGAGGCCGCCAAGTGGGGGCTGGCGGGGCAGATCGACAACGGCTTCAGCAAGGATGTGTCGGGCGTCCAGTGGGGAGCGGTGGGGTGGGTCGAGCGGGGGCGGGACGGTAGGGAGACGTTCAGGTCGCTGCGGCTCACATGAGATGCGGAGGCCCACACATTTGAGTGGCAGGCAGGGTTCGGTTCGGTAAGTTGTGCGGTGTTTTGAGGGCTGTGTGGTGGTGTCCATGATGTGTTGTCTGTGTGTGTTTGATTCTGTCCGTCTGTTTCGTCCAAGGGGAGCGAGATGTCTGTGTGTGTGCGTGTGCATTACGACGGTCCCCGTGTGTGTGCGTGAGTGTGTCGCTCTCCCTCCCTATGGCTCTCGTGTAGGCGGCCTTGCTCCAGTAAGTAATTGGCTGATGGACATTGAGTGATGTCAATTTTGTTCAAATCACAAGCCCAACATTTAAGATTGAACAGCTACTCACCCGCACCTACCCAGGCAACGACCCTCTAGGGTTTTAACCCTGTCGTTCCCCAAACCCCCTCCTGACAGTTTAGCGCGTGCAAGGAGTTGGTGCGCAGATCCGCGTGTTGCAGCAGATAAGCGCTCGCTCGTGAGTGTCCTGGCGAGGTCGGCCTCCTCGATAGGAGCCTCGGCTGAGAGAGAGGCCATCGCCCATTCGGTTCTCGTCAGCAAATCTCGTCGGTAGGTAGCACGTCAACGACGAGAATGCATGACAAGAGTGGTGCATACCTCTGTGCCCTTCTCGTCAGCCGTGTTTAAGTGGTGCCATGGCAGCAGCGGCAGCTTCATCATCATCTGCTGCTCCGCCGCCTCAGACAGAGGTGAGTGAAGGCACAGCACACGAATGATTCATCCATTCATTGGTTTGTTTGTTTCGTCAGGTCATGGCATCGTGTTCGTCGGCTGGTCGTTACCGGGAGGGCACTCGTGTGCTGCTGACGTCGGGCACCAGAAGGGGTGCCAATGAGAGCTATGTGTGGCTCAAGGCCGACGTCTATCGCATCGAGGAGACCAGCAAAGGGTCGCTGCTGTTCATGCGGGAGGTGGGCGGGCGGGAGGAGTTCAAACAGGTGGTGCCGCATCGGACCAGCGTGCCCATAAACACCAACCCACAGCCACCTGTGGTAGGCAGACACACCTCAACAGGAAGCTCCTTGGATGCCCCGCTGAATGATTGTCTTCGGTGCGGATGCTTGTCTGTCTGTCTGTCTGTCTGTCTGTCTGTCTGCAGGTGTGGGATTTTAGCAAGAAGGTACACAGGCAGCTACACACGACACACAAACGATGCCAGCAGTCCTTTATCTCCGGTGGTCATGTTTCTGCTTCAGGCCCCTGCACACTTCAGCGACGACCTTCTAGCGTCGGTCTTTAGCTTCATGACCCCTCGCGAGCTGTCGACCATTATCCCGCCCACTCGCACCACTGCCCCCGACAAGATAACCCTCCTCTACAAGCAGCCCCGCAGACAGAAACCGATACGCACGAAATTTCGCTGGTAAGTGAGCAGATGGACGACAAGAGGGCAGTAGATGCCGAGAGCCATGCACCCACCTCTGCCTTCGTCTGTGATCTTCTCGTCAGCCGTCTTTCATCCGTTGGCGGCCACACCACCACTCCTTCACCCCTCTCGGCCATGGCATCGTCTTCCGCTCTGCCGTGGCCAAATTTCGGTCCGCTTTGTGCGGGTGCCGCCTTCGGATCGTCCAATGGCGAGACGACGGCAGCGTCGAAGGAGGCCCCGGCCGACGTGGAGCTGCCGGGTGTGCCATCGGTATCATCTCTGTCCGGCGGCTTATCTCTGTCCGGTATATCGACGGGAGAGGGGGGCCTATGGAGTCCAGCTGCAGCTGGGTCGTCAGGCGCAGCCACTCCCGCACCCAAACCACGGACTCGCGCGAAGCGCGTGAGTGCCGCCCGTCCGGTTGCCTCGATCACCACAGGCCCAGCAACCACCACCACCACCCAGACACACGGTGGCAGCGCCGCCGCACCTGCCGAAGCACCATCCACAGCACAGTCGACAACCACAGCCGCCAGCGGCCCATTCGACATCGGCAAGGCGTCCACGCGGGGAGGTGGCAACCTGTTCGGTGGTGGGGCAGCGTCGGGTGGTGACTCCCTGTTCGGTAGAGTCGGGTCGACGGGCAGCCGGCTCAGCGGCACCGGCACAAGAACGGGTCGCATATTCGGGCAGACACCGGGGAGCGTGTTGGGCGGCAGCATCTTTGGCGGCACTGGTGAGTGACGTGGAGGGATGGATGGATGGACGGATAAATCGCGTGCTCGCTGCATGTGTGTGTGGGTCGATCAGGTGTCGCGGCGTCATCTGTGTCCAGTGGAGCGCCATTCTCAACAGGCGACAGCCTGTCTGGCGGTGCGGCCTTAAGAAGCGGGCAGCAACGGCCCGACGGCGCCGCACAGAGCAGCCCCTCCCTCATCCACACGGCAGCCCTTCACCAGCAGACCCTCATCGCTATCGACTCTTCCACCGATGCCGACCGTCAGTTCTGGGAGAGTATGACGCCTGAGGAGGCCTTCCAGCTCGGCAAGCGGCTACCAAACCTGACAGCGCTCAGGATGGTGCAGCCACGCAGCGACCGGTTGTGGGGTCTGGACAGGATGATATGCGTCGTAGAGGGCCATGCGGCCGGGCGGTGGGAGGCGTGCGAGAAGGAGGGGCAGCACCACATCGCGAAGGGATCTCTGGAGACCATCCACTTCACCCCCACCAGCAGCACCAGCAGTGTGAAGCAGCCCCGTCCCCCTATCGCTCCTTCATTCGCCCCCCCGCCGACCCTCCATGCCCTCAGGACCGTTACAGGAGTCGCCCGACAGCACCGTGTCCTGGCCGACAGAAGCTGGCACATGCCCGCACTCGAGTATGTCGATCAGGAGGGGTGGGATGCCGAGACGCTGGGCCGCTTCATAAGCTCGTCGTCATCCCTCAAAGAGGTAGGGGGGCGGCGGCGGTCATGGGAGGAGTGGGCGGGTTTGTTTGAGAACTTACCCATAGCATTTGATGGGCAGCCGGGGCCGCTCAGACACCTGCAGACCATCGGGGGGATCGGGAGTGGGCGTGGCGGGACACTAGATCAGTACCGACAGGGGGCAAGGGGACTGCAGGTGAGCAATGACCACACAGCAGAGGCCTCCCTCATTTATGCGTGCAAACACACGAATGACGTCCTCCTCTCTTTATTGTGTATTGTAGGCTGTGCTCACATCGCGCGGCTGCCACAAGGCGTTGACGAGGCTTGACGTGCGGATTCCACCATTCCAGGACCACGACAGCCTCTCTGCCCTGCTCGCTGTCGACGGCTTCATCAGCACCTGCTGCGTCTCACCGGACGTGCCGCTCAACGTGCAGGTCACGCGTCCGGGCAGCTTCGAGCTGTCCCTCTTCTACGCTGACGCATTCCCCCCTCGCCCATCCCCCTTCATCAAGACGGCCATCCAGGAGGCGGCACGGCAGGCGCGGTACGTGACCTACACCATCAGCCAGCATGACATCACCCACCCCGTCTACAGCCCCAGCCAGACGGCCGTCGAGATCGCGAAGACACTCTCATTCGACAAGGCGAAGGAGGTGTATGTCTCCAGCGCCTACGGCTTCGTCCTCCCTCCGCCTGGCACCCCCTCACCCATACCCGCAGTCATCAACGACATGCAGCCTTTCCCAGTGGCCGAGGAGCTGCACATCCGCAGCGCATTTGGCGGGGCTCTAGGCCGTCTGCTGGGGCAGAAGATGCCCAAAATGCCCATGCGGGTGCAAGTTGTGTGGTTTGCTGCAGCTGTCAGTGCAGAGGATAGAATTGCCGTGTTGGAGGCGCTGGGGGAGGAGAGGGAGGTGGACAGTGTCGCTGTGGGTGATGAGGAGGAGCCGGTCAGTCTCACGCAGGGCGGCGCCTTTGATGGATGGCGGTCGCAGGGCTTACCGTCGCTTCGCAGCGTAGACATGTACCTATTAGGTATGCGAAGCAGGCAGTGAGTGCAGCAAAGGGGGCGCTCGGTCCGTCTCGTGTGTTCATCCGCCCTGTCTGTGTGTGTCTTTATTCAGTGCCCCATGACTTGGAGGATGCTGTTGCTGCCGAGCTCATCCGTGACGGCCTCTCGACTATCCTCACCGCTGGGCTGCGCGGCCTGAGGCGTGTGGAGCTGTGGCTGGAAGGGGAAGCGGATGACTCCATCCTCACGGCGATTCGACAGCTGCTCCCAAACGGCACG